TAAGGAAAAAATAATTTATCATAATTTCCAAATGTATTAATGTATGCATCTATCAACATTGGGGGATCAAGGATCAAATAAGTCCCCAGCTAACAACAGATTTCTTCAACCAAAAATGTTATCATTCATACAGTATGTAAATTAATTTACCAGAATTTTTTACTTACATTTTATACGGCTATAAATTTTATAATAAATATTTTTAATTTTTTCTTAACTCGTGGATCCTGCAATGAAGTCTTGCAATATGTTATAATATAGGTATTAATATAAAAGACATGGAACAGCGGGGAGGCTACGTAATAAGCCAAATCGAGCATATACTTAACAATCGTAACCTTCATTTTCAGGGTATAACTAGGTACATTAAAAGCGAAAAATATGAAGTGAAATAATATTTTCCGAATGTATATCACGTTGTGTTTTTAATTTTTATGTATAGGTACAGCTTGTACGTGTTTGATTTTCAAATACATATCATTTTCGTTTTCCTTATTGGTTTATTATTATACCTGTAATAGTAATACTGATTATAATTATTAGGTAACCGCCTATCTATTTACTTGCTTACAAACAAATATCATGTAAAATATAATTTATCGAGGAAAAATAATATTTGACACCATCATAAGGACAAAATATTCACGCTAACAGTAGCTAATCCAATTAATTTTGCCATACCAATATAATACGCCGTAACGAAAACGATACAAATTAAATTAACTATTTCAATACAAGAATACGTATATTACTCGAGGCTCGTTCTGGACATGACGATTGATATATATATGTGTATATACGAAGTATAACACAAAATAAAGAAGTATCTAACCTAACCTGCGTAGGTTTACTAAGATTATAATTTGCGGCCAGTGGTCTACCGAAACAAATTAAACAAATAGAATAATATATACAAATCAATGGCATCGATCCATTGCCGTAACACTTAATTATTGCAACTGTAGAAGACCCATCTATTTTAATAGTGTGAAACATGTTACATGTCAATAAATAATTATATATTTCAATACAAGAATACTTGCATTACTCAAAGCTTATTCCTGACAAGACGATTGACTTATTTATGCGAACTATGAAATATAACACTGAATGTAGAAGCACCTGTGGAATTATTGCCCTCTGGGATTTTCCTATAAAGCCCATACAATTAAATTAGAGACCACATTAAACTCACTTATAAAATACTTATTCAACAAGCAGTGTCATTACTCAACTTAATTACCATATAAAGAATTAAAAATACTTAGTTTTACTAATCTTCATTTATTATTTGTTTGTGCACTTTTATTTAAACACAAAAATACTATTATTTCAGTGCATACGCATGTTCATAATAGTAGATTAAAAGAAAAATATTAATACAAATATTCCTAAATTTAGGACTACTTTTACACATTCAGGACTATATTTTGAATTTATAAAATTCTGTATTAAATTTAAAATTAATTTGCAAGACGTTTATAGTCCCCTTAGTTTTAAAATTAGTGTTGTCGATACCATAATAAATCAATTGTAAAAATATATACATAGTTCGTAATATAAATTATGATTAAGCTGACATTGTTAAGATTTTCATTGTATAAATTTATTTTATTTTTTCGTTTTTTTTTTTTATTTAAAAGTTTACAAGTTTCCACTACAAAGGTTATTAACCAATAATTTTTTTTTTTTAAATAAAAACAGATTTGATATTTATTAATCTACCTTACTATGAACTTTAATCTCTTTAAATGTAAATTCCACTTGAATGCATGAATTAGAAAAATATTTTTTTTATTTTATTAAAAAACTTATCTCCGCACAGCAATTGGCTTGAAGATGACCAACTCATTTTGTTAAAACGATAATTTTGTTTGCAGTATAACTGTTGTAGTTGTAAATTTTATTGAAAGTAAAAAAAATAAAAAACCTATAACCTATATAATTCTAGTATTGTAATATAGTATAGTATAATGTCAAAACGTATCTGGGTTGCAACATTTAAAACTGGTAGGATTATTATAATAAAAACTATAATAAATACCAATACTCATAATATTACAGTCCTGTATCAACGTACGTACCATAAACGTACATTAAACGCGTATACCTAGGTATAATAAAATAGGTTTAATTTTTGGCCAATAATCTTCCGAAATGACTTGAAACCTAATACTATAAATTTCAATAAATTGTTGTTTCACTTGACGAGTGCAACTTCAGCGACCTATCTATTTAAGCATTGTGGCACAGGTCAATATTTTATAATTATATATATTACATAATGTCAAATTAATATCACATGAAGAAACAATATTTTCATAGTTGTGTACATACCGATATAATATATAATAGTATAATAGTAATTAATAATTATGTCGTGGTCAAGCGACGCGCAATTATTGATTACCAATTAAGAATTTTCTAACCGCGGACAAGGATTGTATATGTTTGGCAATCTCCGTGGACATATTTTCCTCGCACAAGCCAACCATTTCGTGTTTTCTTTATCAATATAATAGTATTATCATTATGTTTATGATTTTGTATGTTGGTCGTATGACATATTTGAAATTTGCATTGATACAAATCAAAAACTCATCGCAAGAAGTTTTATTTTTATTTTTATATTATTTTCCAAATGTTGTGATTAAGTGTAGGTACAGTTTATTTTTCCTTCTGCGGTAGACGTTATTAATGTATGATCAGTTACATTAGTACGTATAATACAGTGAGTACTTACCGATGATTTGCCATAATATTTCAATAAAGTATTGATAAAAGATTATCAAATATTCCGGATAGGATAAATTGATAAGACATATCTATACAGTGTATACACAGCTTAAATGGTAAAAATTACTTACTTGCGACAAAATTATGCAGGTATAACTTTGAGCCCCTAAAATAAAACACGTACCTACCGGTATTCAATGAAAGTACTGTATATTTAAAACTCGAAAGAACCTACTGAATAAACATTAATATTTAATGTATGCAACAATTTTTTATGTTTATAATTTAATTCCTATTTTAAATGCATAATATTTTGAGTGCATATTTCGCAATTTTTAGTATGTACATATGCAACTGTTTTATAAGTGTACCGATATTCTACCTCCATTCTCTACATATTATTCTTGAAATTGGAGGTACGATCGGTCACAGAGGCGATATGGCATAAGCTCTAAAGTTGTGAAAATTTTATATTGCTTGCGTCAAAATTAGTAGGTAGGTTAGGTTAGGTTAGGACATAAGGGCAAATATAAAATTATACCGAATATAATACGGCAAAAGCACCAACGATATAATAAAGAAATATATAATTTGCACCAATATTATTATTTGATATCTTATGGTTGATTTTTAATTATATTTTATATGGTCCGAAATATTTAAAATTGGCAATGAACATTATTGTTAAGTAAAATAATAGTACAAAATAATACAAATAAATAAACATTATAATCATATTTACAATACAAATTGTCTTTTTAAACTGGTTGATATTTTAATCCCACATTTTTCAGATAAACAATTCGGCTTACTTCACCAAGCTAGTATTTCTTCCATTGCAAAATAATGCACTCATGAGATGTCTTTAATTTTGGGACATAAAATTGGTCTTTTAAATGCCGTTAAAATGATTCAACTTAATTTGTAGTTCGTATAGTATCAATATCAAAAATTTCAGCCACCATTTCGAGGACATGTACTAGAGCCAATATGTATGTCTAAAATGTAACTACTGGACATTTCTCTTAAATATCTATACTCTTGTAATGAGATTCATAACATGCATATTCATTTGTAATTGATTTTGGACACGGTTTATTTTTTGCTTATCTCGTTTTGACTCGTATGCCATCTACTGGTCGCTGATAAACCAACGAACCATCGCGGTCATGTCACATATCAGGTTGACTGCCACAATGATTTTTGATACTTTTTACCCTGTGCCGTGTGTACAAAATTGTGTACACTCCTTTACTTACCATTTTTCTTTCCGTGTACAGAAATGTGTACACGCCTGTACTGATTTAACATTGGAATTAAATATTGTGGTCCCTAGGACCAGTTTGTCTACTCAGCGAAGATATCAAATGGATATTTTAATTAACAAAAAAACAAAATTATAAAAAAAGAAGTTTTTGCAAATTATCGTTTAAAATTTGTTGGATAGTATAAAAATATTTGTTTATACAAGTATGGAGATTTGTTCGTGTACAAACAAATGTACACATGGCAGTCAACCTGATATACTGAGTCAGTGGCAAGCGATGCAGCTGCAGCGGATACTGCTAGCTATACAGAAAACTGGTAAAAAACATTTGATCATACATTTTTATGTTATGATTAAGCAATATAATTGGATCAAACAGCTGATAACCGTTCGAGAGTTTTGTGACACGTTGGGCAATAAAATACGTAAAATACCTACACGGGTAGTGGCACCTGTAGTAGAGCGTGTGGGAGTGGAAAGGAAAGAAAAGTCCGGTATAGGAGTAAAACGATAAAAATGCCCTACCCCCTCCCCGTAATGTATGGTAAAAACCATGATATTATAATTTATTTTTACGTAGGTACCTTGCTGCAGCAGATACGCTGCATCGTGTCGGACCTTCGGAAACGGTAAAAGTGTCGGGGAAAAAATAACAAATTTGGGTCGAACCTGCGTGGCGAGACAACAACCGATTTGAAAACGCACTCATATACCTACCCCTACCCACATCATAATACTAATTAATCTAAAATACGTCTGCGCAGGTACGCTACACAATATTGTGTATGTTATGTGTGTACAGTGTTCCGTACCTATACGATCGTCGGCTAATGGGGCACACTAGGTTTTTTTTCCCATACCCGTCTAGCAGTGTTATATTATATATTATTTACTTTCACCTCGCGTATCATACGTAGGTAGGTAGGTAGGTACATACGTATAGTGTTATTATTACATATTGGTCAGTTTTCCCCTCCAGTCCGGCACGCGCCGACCCTTCTACGGTACCAGAGATCCACTGTGGCTTTAAACTCGCACATTAGGAACAAGGTGATACGTTGTTAAGTCATCGTCGGTCCTCGTGCTTGAAATGTGCTAGTGCTGCGAGTGCGCGTTGACGTTAATAACATCGACACTGCAACTGAAAACCGCGTTTCCGTGTAAACACCGTCAGAAGAAGTAAGTAGCACCGTGATATTTTTTATTTTTTTTAACATTTTTTTCCGCACGCCCGTACATATGTATAGTAGTTGGGTACGAGAAAATCGTTACAATAATAACAAGCCTTTTTGTATTTACCAACGATGGCGTTTTTTATTTTATTTTGAAGTACTCGAAAAAAATTCAATTGCATCATAACATATTATTATCTGCAGACTTCTATTTTACCTGTACCCAAGTAAACGGTGAGACGAACTTTTTTTATACGCTACACGTTTTACGAGTATCTGCGTATTTCTTGACAGTCGATACGTCGAAGGAGCATGTAACACATTTTTATTCAAGTACCAGTGCAACTTCTTATTAGGTTAATAATTTTTCGATGTATGTTGCGTGTATACGAGTCGTCGGATTAAAATATATGAATCAAGTAATAATTTACATATTGTACGTTTTCGTATTTTAATGCTATGCATAAAACGTTAGTTTGATTCCAGTAGAACGTGTGAATAAAAATAAATCTATTTCTATACGTCTTATTTGTTTGTTTTGATTACATAGAAGCTGTAGTTATTACGCAAATTGATAAACATAATAAGACATTTTTTACAACGCTAATGTTTTATTTAAAACTCGTTTAATATGTTAAATTCGTGGGTACTTGTTACGGCTAGAGTATTTTTAATATTTATTTAATTTATATAATAATATAATTATCTGCAGTTTAAAATCGTTAGATTTTTGTGGTCAAAATTTAGCATAAATTATATGTTTACGCACCCTAGAGTTAATCGGCATATATTTTGGCCATTGATACTACATTTTCATCCTATTATTTAATTATTATTTTGTTTTTATCCATATAATTTGTTAACTTATTTGTTGTTCATAAATATTTTTCGTCGATTTAGACACAATACATTTATAACTAAATTTTTTCAAATGAAATGATTATTATTTGTACAACTGATACAGTCCATACTGTCCAATATAATAGGTATCTAATGTTTCTATAAACGTTTTAGTTTGGATATAAGCATAAATACGGCCATAAATTAAGTACAATTATTGCATATACTATAGACATAATATAGATTAATGGTACTTACAAATGACAATGTTTAAATAATATATTATTATGCACATATTGCATTTTCCTGCCTGCATATTTGTATAGGTATGCAGGTTATGTATCGATTATGTACAAGTTCAAATTGTTAGTAATTTTAATTCAATTTATTTCAACATCATATAATTAAAGATAACAAATATATTTCATCATTTTTATATGAAAATAATATAATTCAAACAAAACATTTTTTTGATAAGGTGCATGTATTTTTGTAAAGAACTTATTCAATTCGTTGTTAAGTTGCTTACTTATAATGTTACTCGGTAGTTCGTCGTTATTTCGATTTCAGTACCTATATAGGTAAATGTCTCGGTATACGTATACCTACATATCATTGATGTTACTATTACAATAGGTTTGATTAATTACACTGTTCAACGATAATCTACAAATCTTAAGTACATACCCATTATGACAATAATTTTATTTCAAGTTCGTTACATTGAATAAAAAGTACTTACCGGCGGCTACACTGTTTAATTAGGAACGAATAGTTAGCACATCAACACACACACAAAATTATGTTATTTTTCATTCATCTCGAACGATTAAAACACTCAGAGTTGTGGTATTCAAGGGCATATTTTCTTAAAGCGTTCATGGGTATTTACTATTTTCCCATGGTTATTTAAGACATTAATGATATTTACATGAACTGCTGTAATAATATACATAATAATATATAATATTATATGTATATATATATTATATTTTAATATATTATGAGCATCATAGTATATAGGACATATAAGCGTAAACCTGAATTAACGAATCGTAAACGAAAATTAATAATATCATTCCTATCGATCGACGTCGTCGGACCCGAACCAGGAGGAAATATTAAACGATTTTGAAAGGGAAAGCAAAATAACGCAAAGCGAGCGAAGCGCGTGGCGGAGGGAAGTGCTAATGACGTGAATAAGTAATAAGTGAACCGACTGAGTAATACTCAATTTTTACATAACAAGAATATATTATTATTATGCTTTATCGAATACCGATAATCTGCTCGCAATAGTCGAAACATGTTTTAACTAACGCATGCCTGTTCTGTGTTTACCGTTATAATATTATATGTTACTTTATGATATAATTTTAATGAAAAGTAGATTTTTTATTATAATTTTTATAATTTTTTTTTTTTGTTATTACACAAAATTATTTGTTTAGTACAGCCGATTCAACAAGACGAAAATCGAAATTAAATACAAATGAAATACTAACTGGTTAGGCACCTATATAATATAATATAAGTATACCTACATACATTTTTAATATACAAAATTCCATGTAGGTATGCGATAGAGCTACTCACTAATAACTATATATTTTAAAATAATTTAATAACACGTTTTTTGTTGGTTATATAAACTTATTTTTTGTTGGAATCTATAGCTAACTCTAAAGTGAAAGAGGCTATACCTATTTTAATTATTATCATATTTTATACATTTTGTAACCAGATATGTGTTACCCTATACACTGGTAGGTATCAGTTTTTGGAGTGATACGTCAAACACATATCAGATTATCAGATTATATTATAAAGGTATAATCTACGTTGTGATGAGCATAATATTCTATGGACACGACTTCCTATAATAAATCGATGAGACACTATTATTATAATAATGTGAATGGATCGTTTGTATAAATTATTTAAAAACGCATCGCCTCGGTTTCACCGAGTTTCTCATAGCTGCATTCGTATGCACTACCTATCTATCGAATCATTTTAATATAGATAACAACTGTTGTTTTTTTTTTACATATTTTCCGATTGAAACGAATAATAATAATAAACTACTTGTGATTTAATGATCGATCACATACACATTTATGTATACAATCTAATGTTCTAATTGGTTTAGGTGTATATAAATTTATTATTATCATTACCTATAGGGTCAGTTTGAGGTAGATAGGCACGCGCGTCCATAAGGAGGACGAGTTACTCAAGGTACACGTTTTAATATGTGTAAAAAGGAAAGTGGATTGAAACTGAAATAACTGTTATATCATAAACACTGTAGGTCGGTGGCCAGTCTGAACCTTCTCTTATGTGTGTGTTGCATTTTACTTTCTATTGATTATTCGTCCCATCGTATCGTCCAGCCACTATATATATATAATATTATATATTGATCGTTATGTCGTATTGACGCTTCGGATCTGCCCTGGCCTGTCAGTATCTAATATTAGATTCGTATTTTATTCAATTTTTGCCACCCACATCATATCCCGAACTTAATAGAATATATTGTCGTAGGTTTTCTCTTCGATTTTGAAAAAGAAAAACCGTACAAATGGTCTAATGAGTAATATTGTATACCAACGTTAAGTCCAGTTATATATAATAATAAAATCATAATATGCATTGGAGCACTATCTCAATCTAGTATAATATGGTCATGTGCGACGTAATGAGGATTTCCTGTTCGTAAAAATTCACTTTTTGATATGTCTTATAAACAATCACCCGAGGAAACAATACGTTATTAAAGGTACCATGACGTACTTATTCAAGTTTATATGTATATTTTTACAACGAAAGTTCGTCCGGGGAACAAGGACATATTATACAATGTAATCTGTGTTTAATTTATGATTAGTATACACACGCGCGATATCAATCTAACTATTATCATTTGAAATTCTAAACTAGTTTTCGTTTTTTTTTTAATTTTCATGTTTCATGCAGCACGGACATTACCCAATAGATCGAAAGCTCAACGTACATATAACTATATTATTAAAGTATTCAAATCGATCGCATATAAACAACTAATTTTTTCCGCTCTGAATAACATGCATCATAATATAATCATCATGTTGAAAGCTTTTTTTAAAAAATATAACGAAATAACGAGTGTACCCAACCTATAACCGTACTCCCTTCCTATAGATACTAGAGTTTACATATTCCAGTCTAGACGACGTTCCGAGAATCTAGTTCCCTGGCGGTTAATTTAAAAAAATATCAGTTTCGAAACGAATGAGATTTCTTAATAATATTATATCAACATTATTATAATATTTTAATAATACGTAGTGTTTTGAATGAAATTATAAGGTACCTATACAAATATTAAGAAAACAAAACAAAACAAAAAAATCCGAAATTATGCAACTGCGCGTGCTAGGATGCATAACTACAAGATTTGAATCTTTTTGGTCTCGCAACGAGATGCGTTTTTATGACGTTTTTATGTCGTCGTTGTGATATGTTACGATCGTTCAAAAATCAAATATAATCACCGGTACTTGGATGACGTTGTGCTCGACCAACTAATGATCTATAAAGCTTATAAAGTGTCAATAATAATATGTAATAATTATATTGTATGCGGTCGGACGTAATATGATATTATTGTTTTAAAGGGTACGCCGATATTTTTATCACCATATGTTGTGGGTGCTCTACATCGTGGTTTCCCACGGCCGGGCCTTTAGTAGTAGATATTATATGTATCATAATTCATAATACAAAAATTATATTATTCGCTTTGTACTGCACGCTCGCATTAATCGGTGTGACAAAAAAAAAAACAAAGCGAACCAAACCGAACGCGTCTACGATTTCTATACTAACGTTTGCCGCCCACAGATATATTATTGCTAGATATACCTACATGTATATAAAGGCGTACATTGTATATCGTTGCCCTACAAACATGTCAAGTCCGGGGACCATATTATTATCATTTCTAATATAGACATTATATATCTATACTATATTATAATAACACAACTGCACAATTATTACACGCCCCGGAAAATTGCGATTTACGCTCTCGTCATATTATTTTCGTACAATTCTTACAAGCTGTAGGTACCTATATAATATATACTATTGTGTAGGCCTCCGTTTACTATACACTACAACCCACGCACACTTTACCGCCATTCATTACATTAACTATAATATTATGTACCATATGATATTATAAATATTTGTGTGAGAAAATGATTTTTTCGGTTGACCCACGCATAAAAATCGACAATTGTTTGATTTTTAGAATTTTTTTCTCATTTTAAACCCGTCTTTTGGAACCATGTTTTTAAAAACGAAAACCCATCAGTACCAATGATATATATTGTATAGGTAAATAAAAAAATGTTCAACGCAATAATCATACTCACGGTTATAGGTATATAAATATATAATATCATTCGGTAATAAGGAAGTATATTATGTATCTTCTTTTCGACGCGATTCAAGTTCCTTTGTACGATATTTTGGAGGTAACTGCCTAATTGTATTCTAAGTTAAACTAATATTTACTTAAGTTATTAATTAATAAGTATAAACTATTTATAATTAGCTTGTTATAAGTTTCTATATTAATTAATTATTCGTGTTCAGTCTTGCGATATTCGCAGAAGGTTTTTTTTTATACATAGATAAAATCTTTTAAAATTATCGATCAACGAAACATTGGCAGAGACAAAAGGCTGATAATGGTATTTTGATCGGTCCATCAATTTTTTTTTTCGTTTTCGGTTCGTTAAAGTCTCCGGTACACTGCACAACAATGGAAACTATCGTTGGCCGTATATTTCGTATTTCGTCGGAATCGTAACCAACACGCATTTCCGATATATTATAGACACTATACAACGCTATGTGGATTTCATTATTATAAGATTTACCTAGGTATCAGCTCACAGCAGTTTAATATTATACTCTCGCTTTCGTTTACACCTTGCAGTGTATATACGTTTGGCACACGCGTGCTTATTATACACTCCCACGCCGCAAATGTTACGAAATCACGCGACGACGTTATATACTATAAATTATATTATATTATTATCATCATTATTAATAGGTGTTTGGGTTCTAAGAAATAAAATAGTCATACATAACGGTCTACGGTAAAATTAAATAGCGCGAAATCTTCACCGGGCCTCTACATAACCTGTGTGCTTCACTACGGCTATTGACCGGCTACTAATCGTGCGTAATTATAATATAGACACGTCATATTATTGCCGAAGTCGTGTTTGGACAATCAAATTATTATAAGCTTCCCGCGAACCCTTGGAATAAATTCTAACATTTTAGCAATACGTTTTATTTTAATAGGTACTCACTGGCGCCATATTATTTTAGGCCTTTCTCGAGTTGAGCCACCTCGAGTAAAAAATAAAAAAAGGGCATTCATTTTATTTTAGTATTCACAAACCCACGAATTCATTGTGACACTCGTGAACAATCGAAAATCTTGCCCCCATAAAGTGCCGCTGTTGAGGTAGTTAAGCTATTACGTTATATAACGTTATACTCGTATATGAGTGACGTCATGCACCCGTGCCAATCCGTTACAATAACCACATTTGCATCAAAATATTGAAGTGACCGTTTCGTAGATATAGTCACTTATAATAATTATCATTTAGAGAAGCATAATGGTGTATAACTACTTTATTTTTATATTATTATTATTATTAGGCATGCACCTCTATAATACCTACCATCGATCGTTTTAGATAGTGCACGACCTCGTCGCTTTTTCTTAATACATGAAGCAATCGTTTCGTAAAATTCTTCGACGACTTTGAAAATACAAATTCTACCGGTTTTTCGACATTTTCTGTGAACAAAAAACATCATGTACCTATTCATTTAACATCTACTATTATTATTATTATTTGATAATATTTGTTCTGGCCGAATGCTATAGGTATAGGTCATGTTGTCGTGTGTACTTTCTTACTCGAAATTTACCGATTTTATTGAACGATACGAGATCTCAAACACTACGTTGATTTCTGAAAAAAAAATTAAAGTCATACAAATTTTCCGCAAAAACATTTATGCTTTGTTATGTATGCCAATACATGCATATCTAAATCATTCCTATCGACTTAAAAATATTTTTAAATCGAAAACACGTCATGAATATAGGTATACATACATATTATTATAATAACTAAAGGAAAAAAGTTATTAGCAAATTAATAAAATTGTCTTTCAATAAAATATACATCGTGTGGTCTATCCAACTCGGATTTAACTTATAGAATCGTGATGGAGTTTTGAATTTTAACATGGTACCTAATATTGTGATTTTTAATCTTATCTACTAGGACTATTGTGTGTGGTTTAAATTTCAAACTATGTTCTTCGTTATGTTCAGTTAATCTTTAAATATTTGGCACCCAACTATATATGACGTATGACATACGTATGCTTTACAAAATATGTTTTCTCTGGCTACCCATATATTTTATGTGTTGTGCATAATAAATGCTCTTTTATGCAACAATCACAAAATGTAATACTTATTGTTAGTTTATTTGTCTTATTGTTCAATCAATTTATATTTTAGTTTTAATATAACTTCTGAAATAATATGTACAGAGGTACTATCAGATATATAGGTACTTCCTAAAAGTGTATAGGTACACGAAATAAACATTTAATTTCATGACTCGCTGCGGTCAACACTGTATATATAATATACCAACGAATACGAGTGATCTTTACTTGCAGTATTACTTTCACAGAATATATTAAACGTAAAAATATTTTTTTTTAACTGTAATTGTTATGTGCATTGTGCATACTTTTTTACTTCAATAAGATAATGAAGTCCTTGATTTTTTAATGGGAATGGAAATGATGCGAAGTTGTGACATATATAAACGTAACATGTATTATACAAGTGCGGCTTATTATAGTAGAAAGAAAAACACAAACAATAAAAACGCCGACGAAATGGGATACAAATTAAAATTATCCTTCTGTTTCCGTAAGCAATTTTAATTTATATACTTTTGTCATTTATTTTTTTCAGACCGGTATTCAAAATGATGTTTAAATACATGTGTTTGGTTTTGTTCATAACGTGGTATCAGTTAGCTGAATGCCACCCTGCAAGCTCCAACGTCAAGTCATTAGATTCCATGATTGAAAAGGTAAAATTTGGTAACCAAATATAAAAAAATAATTAATTAAATAATACTCATTCTCGCAGTATAAGTAATAAGTATAATATCGTAAAATGTATGCATCTTGTTTTCGACGTGTTTCACGTTTTTTGTATGATATTTGGCACTAACTATAAACACATGCTTATAACATACTATACTCACCGGGGATTATGATCAATGTAATATTCAATTTAATGTATAATAATATAATATTATCTATATACACGTGTGAACATATTTTATTGGCCCCGCACCGAGGACAAACTACAGTACGCAAGTCCGACTGATTACCGCACAACCCAAGGCAATCTAGGCATTACATTTTTCGAAACCTATTTAAACTACAGCTACTTTCATTATATTTGTATATTATATTATTATATATATTTTACATATATACACTGTTATCTCATCCACAATAAAATAATGACTTAAGTGTTATACCTACTTAGGATAACACAATGTATATATACAATGGCGTGTGTTTTAATTATTATTATCATGTCAGTTACCTAGAATACGTAGGTATACATAATATTATTATTATAATGGATAATTATTGTAACTATTACTGGTAGCCCAGACATGATTATCATATTATTATGTTATTATATATTTCTTGCAGTGCCACTGCATACAGCTCAGTGACGGCAATACCACGACATATAATATTATGATATTATAATACATTATGCGTGCCTCATCCTATACGTTTCGTAATGATGATGACGATGATCGATGATGATTACCGTTCGTTTTACGAACATTTGTATTTTTACACGTCACTACCATTGTATGTACCTACATAAAATACAATCATAGGCATACTATGGTACATGTGTACATCAGTACATCAGTACTAACCATATGTACTCAATATACCTATAATTGTGGAATATGATTCGTACAAACAATATATACCTGTTATGTATCTATATGATTATATTCAGACCATAAAATTTACAACACACACACACGTATATAAATGTAGGTAATTTGTTATAATCCTAACCTAATCATACCCGATATGATTTAGCGAACATTGAACAGCTATTTCTCTGCAACGCGGGTTGCATGTAAAAAACCGGATTTATGAAATGTTTACCCTATACCTATGGGCAGCTATGTAGTAACTTTTGAAGTTAATGATATACGCATAACCGTTTGTTAGGTTTTGATCCCCTAGAGGCGATATTTTAAGAGTCACGATTGGTTTGGATGTTTGGAGTAATTAAAACCGGTCACAATAATCAGCGAAAAAAATAGATATAATAATATTAATAGGTAAATTGGTTCAATTATTTTTGTAGTACCTACCAATCTCTTATTTACTTTCCATCATAAAAAGTCTACACATAAGTAATATACACACTAATACAACACTGTACCACGCCAAATCGAAGAATAAATAGGCGTTGGCGACGACCAACTTCATAATACTATATTAAAACGCACAGCCATAGTTTTTTATTCATCGTAGTTATTTTGCTGATCAATAAACATCCAAACACATTTCGTCGACATATATTTTATACTTTGGAATTATGCAATCATCATCATCATCATCATCATCATCATCACTATGTTATTACTTTTTCAATTACCAGAAATAAACTATTACATGTGTGTCCTATAGGTACGGTTACAATACTGACATGTAATCGGAAATGTTTATACGTTTAATGATATTTTTGTAATTAATTTTTCGATTGATGAGTGTATTACTATAGGCATCGCGAATATCCCATTATTGTAGGTATTATTGTGGTATTATTATTATTATGGCGGGCATCGCACGAACACGCGTAAACGATTTCCAATGCACTGGTGTTGTATGTGTGTGTCGTTAAACTAGCCAGTAAAAATTAACTTCCACTGCCGTAACTGTAAACAGGTAATACAAACAAATCGCTAATTAAAATTCGTTATTTGCAATAAATTTGTTTGAGTTTTTCAAGCGTTCTTAAAGTAGGTATATGTATACACAGCATACTATATTATGTATGTGTACGTATATTGTATTGCACCCTTTCTATATTATTATTGTGTTACGACACCGCTGCAGCGATTTCGCGTCTCTCGAATTCGTTTTCGCGTCTCGACGAACCGTCGTTTACCTACTTGTTGTACCTACTACACAACTTTTATAGTAGTAATACGTATACAATTATCATAATATATCATTAACTATATCACACGACACATGCGCGCACTGTCACGTGCACTGAGTTACATAATAATAATAATAATAATATAATCGTAAAAAGTATGTAAAATTACACTTCACGTACCTACTTTACATCGAGTCGCCAGCGACGTTGCAGAACATGATATATGGGTACAGTGCACCGCGTATAATATTATTATTGTCGTGCAGTTGTTGGCTCGCGTCGTTTTTTTTTTCTTGCATTAATATTACATACATATTATCATATTATAAAATATTATAATAATAGTATGTAATTCGTACGCGAGCCCACGCTCTCGGCGTTTATCGAAATATATGTAGTGCACGCTCGTTGGCAAGCGCAAGCACGTTTCCGCCCTCGCGACAAACGACATTTTGTATAATATAGGTGTCTACGTGATAGGTACTCGCGAGTAGCGAACGGCGGGGTGGAGGGTGCAAGTTCGCAACACAACGATACGTCGAGAGGGGCGTTTATTATATTACCGTTATTATCGTCGTCGTCGTCATCGGGTAGATAATATTATACCACCTTGGTAAATGATAATTATAGGTAGGTATATAATACAAACGACATATGCGACCGCGGTTAACGGCGGGCGAGTAAGCCTCGACGAGAGTGAAAGCAGTCGTGTTGTCGGTACTTAGTTTTTTTTTTACATCGTATCCCCGGACCTCTGTGAACGCCGACGAACGTGACAAAAGTTCGGTCTGCCATGCGATATATTATTATCAATATATATTATTTACAATATTCCCCTTCAGGTTTAGGTACGTCGTAACCAGCTATCGTATATACCTCATACGACCGCAGTATAATATGTTCTACGAAACGATATCATCTTAATTTAACAACCGATAAATAATATTATGCGGAGATGAAAATAATTTAATGTTGGTGTTACATGAAGGCTTTTTTTTTACATAAAGGCCAGGTGGCCAGGTCTTAAACCGTGTTCGCTGTTCTCGAAATGTCGCGTACGGCGTACCAACTATCCAACTGCGTCATACTTCCGCGTATGTTATACGTACGTTTTCTACCAATCTAATAAATATAATAATTCATCGCTTGTGTATCGCTGCTCAGTGCTCGTTGTCGTTTCCGTATTATTTTAATTTTTAATGTCCTCTCGCATACGAAACTAATACGTTGACGTAACATTATTAAACAGCACAACCGCTGCAGGATTAAACATATTATAATACCTATTATCGTAGGTTACGTATACTTATCGTCCGGTCGAAATTGCCATTCGGTCCGGCGTCCGGCGTTTAACACGATCGTCATATGTCACAAGTGCGCAAAACCATGGCAGGTATATCGATTGATAAATTATTATTATTTTTATTATTATTATTATTATTATTGATGATTGATATTGTCGGTCGACCGCCGCGCCGGAGTGGGGTTCTGAAATAATTCCCGATGACGAGTGTGTTCGTCCGACACGCAAATATTATAATATTAGGTCATGGGATCTACGTGGCATGCCCAGCAATTGCAAAGCGCATAACTCCATAATATCGTTATAATATACGATATACCTACCTATGCCGTATATATACATCAGACGATATCGCCAAGTGAAAAGAATTTTTGCGACTAAATACGTTAATAATTATTGTGATGAAATAGTTGTCGTCGAATGGTCATATTAACGATAATAATGTAATAGTGTATTAAACAAGTCCGTTTGAATTTCAAGTAAATAAATAGGATGCTACTAGATGATACGCCTTACTCGGTATCAACCTAAATACCAGAATATAAGTATTATCGCAACAATAAAAAAATACTTACATATTTTAAACATAATATGTAATAACATAGATAGATATTATGTTCCAGACTAGTGTTTACACGTCAAACACAATGATTTTAAAATAATAAACAAGAATAACAAATAAACCTTAATGCCATACCTTGCCGTTTGCACATCGTCCTTTGTATATTATTGTACGGTGTAAGTGTGTACCTAACATTTTTAATTTAAAATTGTTAATTTTTTGACACTAACCCAACATAATAGTACCTATTATTATTAATATTAGATTACGTGTGTTACGTACGTCCACTGTAATGAATTTCATGTCTTAGAACAATGGACGTACCTGTTTATAATTTTATAATTTTTCACGGTTAAATATTTAATAATGAATATAAAAGATATACCTAGGTATACGTAAACAAAGACCAATGATGATTGTTTCGTAAACTAAACACGTAAGTGCATAGAACGAATACCCACCCGTGATTAATACAACCTATTGGGTAAAAAAAAAATAGCTAAATACTCATCACTGATCAATTAATGCATACGACAATAATTATTGTAAAATACGGAACGCGAAGTGGCAATAATAGTGAAGTGCCACACGTGGTTAGATCACAAAATAAAATATTTATTCTAACGTCATGGTTGAATTTAAATGTAACGAGAGTCTCAAGGACCATTATGATACCCTCTGTAGAATTTTAATTCAACTTTCGAATGACATGTCTTGAGCATTATTATTTCACTTTTATTTCGTATATTATTATATTTTTAATATTCAAAAATATTAATCTAGCTACAAGATGTATAAAGCTTGCATGTATATTATTATACTGTTTAGTAGTGTACTGCTTGTATTACTTGTATTTAAAACAAAACTTGTACATTTTTACAAGATACAGTACGTTAAATTATTTTTAATTTTGTTAACTCACAAACGGTAGGTATTTTATAAAAATTGTATTTTATAAAAAACGTTTCTTAATTTGATTTATAACAAAATCAGAAAGAGTTAAAAAAAAATTAATATGTTATAAGTATCTATTGTCTATTGATATATTGTAATGGTATGAATCTAGGTGACATAAAATCACTGTGTATAATGTTTATATATATGACGCAGGTAATAGTAATTTAAAGGTATAGCTAGTAGGTATGTAGGTACTTACACATTAAAACTACATTTCCAAGCAACAATCAAAATGCCATTGAACAATGGAAATCAAACATTACTTTTAATTTTCATGAAGGTACTTTTTCTCTAGATGTAAGTACATACAATTAGTGGTCAGCATCTATAGACACTGCAGAAAAAATGTATCTTTACTTAAAGACAATTGTGTACTTGATGATAAACAAAAACCATATGTAAATAAGATTTAAAATGACAAAATTGTACTTTACAGGGTCTATCATTAATTTTACAAAATTGAAAAATATCATCAGATAAACATTGATTTTTAAATTTTTTTTATTTATTGAAATACAAACTCTGAATGACAGTTGTTAACTGTGTAATAAAGAAATATAATACAACTAAAAACTAAAGGTAAATAGCTGTAAAATAATGTATAAAACAAGTATAGGATACATACAAATAAAATACTTAAGTATAAGACTACTACAATACTATTATTATAATAAGGAACTATGAATTTAGGATACATTTATAGCTTCATTATAGATACTTTTAAATTTAATTAAAATTGTTTTCTATTATAAATTAATATAATTTCATACACAAATTAAACACATATGTAGATATATTTTAAATTAAGCAACCCATTTAATATATCTGATCATACAACTTTAAATAGAAAGTTAAGTTATATAATAAGTTCTGTAATGGATTCAACTCTTGGAATAATGGTGATATATTATCTTACGAGAAAAAAATTGTTACTATGGTTCTCAGCAACGTACCTACTAAAAAAAACGTATTCGAATCAATTCAAATTTAAGAGCACAATTTTAATGAATACATTATATTATTATAGTAATTAAGTATTAATATTTTTACACCTAATATAAATTATAACAATTTAAAATAAACCAAATTAATTAAAATGTCTAAACTCTAAATACCCACAGTAAAAGTAGCATTTTAGGTAGGTATACAAAATAAAATCATTGTAAAATGTCTCAGACAATCGCTTAAATATTACTTATGCATCTGAGTGTTGTACAATAATTCTATTAACAGTAAACAGAAAGTATTAAGTAATTATGACTTATAAAAGTACGTTTAGCTAGAGCAATCTGAACATTAAGAACTAGGAACTAAATTAAAAACTATTTTATATGCACTTTCATTTCATTTCAGAGTCCCGTTAGGAGTAGGAGTCAGGTAGGTACTAACTATGATTAATGTGCATATTATAATATAATAATAATATTGTTTTGTATACCACATGAAAGAATTGTGGGAAATAGACATGTTTTCATCGATACTTAATATTATGAACCAATAATATTTTTTATAGATAACAAAATTGTTGCTGCCTACACTAACCTGCTAGAAATTGGCACATTTTAAAATCAAAACAAAATATAGGTTGTTATGTTTTTAATACTCAAGTTCATAAATAAAATCGTACACATAGGTATTATTATGTTTTCGACCAACGCTTAATTGAGATTTGAGTGTATTGATGATTAAGGCCAATTTAATTTTAATTACAAACGACAGTTGATCGATATAGCATTTGTATTTCATAATAGATAATATACACCTCCTAATAATTACCGTATAATCTATCTCATAAAATTCTGTGGCCATGTGTCTGCGTATTTAGCCTGTAGGCATACATAACATAATTATATATATATATTATCTAATATAAATTATAATAACATAATGTAGCCAGCTGCATGCCTTATGATCTATGCATAATTCCGTATACCTACATCATTGGCAATACATTAAACTTACCCGAGTCTTAATATCAGTCATTTATTTGTATTGCACATGTGGGAGGCAAGAAAAAAACTGCAACTTACAATAAATGTTATAAAGTATAATATTATGCATGTAAGTAGGTAATCTATCTACCTAGTATGACATCCATGTATAATAATAATAATAACTAAAACTGTATTTTAAATCGATTTTTTTATGAAAAATACTCATTTGTTGTTTTATGAACATTGTGTTTCCCACACAGGAATCGGAAGCATTTTTATCTGTTGAAGCAGAAGACTCTAGTCATAAGAATGTCAGAGACAAAAGGACGATCGGTTTCTTAAGGCAGCTGTTTCCAAATCTATCTCAGGTAAAATTCAACACTCTTTACATTTTAATATATTGACCAACCTATAACCAACTCAATAACTTTCACTCTCCTATGCGCTATTAATCGTTCTGATAATTATTGTTTAGCCAGTTAAATTAAAGAAAATAGGTAGCAACCAAAAGTGAGTTTTGATAATACCCCATATTTTAACGAAAAATTAGTAACTCGGCGTTTTAATCAGAGAGTTCACGGATAATTTTGTGAAATGTTATTATTGTATTATTATTTCGATGTGAAATGCTGACAAATTCTCTAGAGCGTATCAGTCATTCGTGTAGCTTTTGCGTTACACGATACTGGATTTAAGAAGCACTCTATATGATGTAATTTCGTTCTATAAAATGTAGGTTATTAATGTTTGAACAAATTAATTAGTAACGCAGTTCCAAACGTTGTAATCATTAAATTAAAATATCAAACATAGTTAGTGTTATATCATGGCACGTCATGACCTATATATTCAGAGCTGTGTTGAAAACTTACGTTTTTCAGTTTTTTATTTAAATAACAATTTCATTATATTTGTCTTTACATATTATTCATATAGGTTCTTATAGATGATTCGCTTTGACGGGCTTCGCTCAGTATTTTGTTTCAAGTTTTTTAGTATAATATAAACACCCATGGTCGTCAAAAACATCGGCCAGACTTGTTTTAGGATTAGATTGAGTTTTATCCACATTTTTGTCGATAGCAATGAACGTGTTTCGAAAAATGTGTACCCATTTAAGAATGAATCCTGTCAATTATTTATTAAAGTTGACATTAGTACATGAAACCGGAATAGCATAGGACATACTTTCTATGATAGGTACCTCTATTTGATGAGATTAATGATCGGTGGGCTCGTAAGATTATGGATGAAACATTATTGACCTATAACAAACGACCGAACGAGTGTTGCAGAACGTCAAGTGTAATTATTAATATAAATTTTAATATTTCTGTTTCATCCGTTACATTCGAACCATAGATATGAAAACATTTTCGTGGGTTATATCGTTCGACAGATATTCAAGTGTTCTGGTTAAAGGACAACCACATTTTATGCCAAAACCAGTATATGGCTTACACCTGGACATGCGATTTTTTAAACTCTTACGACACACGCTTATAGTGGTTATGTAAATTGTTATTATACCTACATATTACATTATTCTAGCCATGCAAGCCTACTATACAAATATACTATAATTTGCTTAAGCGATTCGAACATAGAAATTAATTCACACTCGCGGATAGCTATATTCAATATTCGGTACCTACGTAGTACAATAAGTACCTACTTATACCTAATGGGCAATGGCTACTACCTACACTCGTGGTTTATGCACATAATTTAATAACGGTTTAAAACAATAACAGTACGATCGTTTGATGAATATTTCACATTCACCCTGAACAATAGCCCCGAAGTATGTTAATGTTCTCATATCTCACAGACTCCATTTCTTAACATATTTTCTTAGATATAGGTTGGTACTCACTTGTAGTTATTATTACGTGACTGTATCGTACGACAAAATACACACAAGGCTTACACATGTTAGTCCGTTAAGCACATATAAACATGTATAAACATAATATTACTATACATAACATAAATAAAACGAATAATGCATTGAACTTGTTAACTTCTCGAATACATTAAGGAATCTATCTGCTTTACGCTTTGAAAACTTATAAATGCAATCTTTACGACACAATGATATGCACACAAACCCATGCACAATTGCTGCCATATTAATTTTAAGGCTAACGACATTAACAAACCATTTTGTCCAGACAAATTTTCTCCACCATTGAAAAAAAAAATAGAATTATAACAAAGTCTCGTTTATTATAAAAATAATCTTTTGTTTTATATCGTATTTGGGAAACTGGCTAACCATGAAACATCGCAATGATCAGAGTGCGTATTAGTCAATCGCACGTTAAACCGTTATAATAACTATTTGTCTTTGTATATGATCGGCAATTCTGATTAAATATTAAGATACCTATCGGTATAGTAACAACAACAGCAAGGACAAATAATACTTCGTTTTGAAATCTGTTAAAAAGAACATGACCAGAAGCCAGTTTAGTTTATGTAACTGTCTATGGAGCATTATAATAATAGTAATAATGTATGGGTACTGTGTAATTTCTAAAGAATAGCCATGACATTAAAAAAAGTTTGCTACTTACCTCTTATAATCATAAAAGGCAAATGTGATTAGAATCAGTATATTATATTATTTAGCGTCCAATAGGCAACTGTTGTTGAGTGATTCGTTTAATAAAAATAAATGTCTACTGTTTCTTAACCTATTTTACAATTTCGAATTAAAAACAGTTATTATCAACGAAGAATTGTATCGTTTAATGAGTTGTATATGGATTTGTAATGTTTCGTTATACTTTTAGATTTTTCAATAGACACTTGATAATTTGTTTTCTGACCTTATCATCTAATGAATTGATTTTAAAAAAATACAACAGCCAACAGGGTTTTATTGAACTACTTAAGTCCCAAACGACTATTCAATTGAATTATTTTTAAGAAAAGTTCGATTATAGGTATATGAAGTTAAACATTACACGAAATTCATCTTTCTTTTTTTTCAATATGCAGATATAAAATGAGTTTTTAGTATTGCGTTTCTCGTTAACGGTTTTGTTAGTCCAAGTCATTAAAAAGCTTAGAAAGTATAGTGGCGAATTTATTACCTAATGAAATACAACATTTTAACGGCAACGATCACAACAATAAATAAATGGATAAATATGGAAATATTTTATAACCGTAATACATACACGCACACTCGAGCAATTAGTAGGGTGACTTGCAATTTGAAGATCATTATTATTTTTTTACTAATGGCAATGATGACACAATTTAATTCAGCTGTTTCGTCGTATGGATTAACCACGAACGTATATAATGGTATTATACTAAGTGGGCAAAACAAACAATAATGTACTTGGAAAAGAGGCGAAATACCTGTCCAACGACTGTATGTATTATACAACTCGTTCTTGACGAAGACACCACAGACAACGTCGCTATAATAGTAGTCTGATGACGACAGTCATTTATACGAAGATGTTGGAGAAAATTATCCTACCACGTCTATAATGTATAATGTACCCATAAAATAAAAACGATTAACCAACAATCATCGCGGATGATACTCTACTCCGACTATACGTCGACTTTCTAGACGTATAGTATAAGTAGATAGGTTAGGTTAGGACTGGTACTTTACCTTACTGCAGAAATCGAGAGGTACGTATATTTTTTCCTTTGATATTGTATCTTGGATATGCCCGATGTGACAAGTTGATTTACTAATCATTATATAGCCATTTTTTTGCATTGAAATCCAAAATGTATGTCAATGATTAAAAAAAACTTAACCTTTTTTTTTTTAATGTCCCTATCGTTTTAAATAATATGACTGTATAGATTTAAAATTATGTAAAATATAAACATATTCCAACATTTACCGAGAAAATAACTTCGATAGAGTCGATAAAGTGATAAGAAACTAGCAGTATAATAATATTATATTATTTACTTGCTTGCAATTTTTATACATGTCCATATTAAATTTGAAAATATAGTTCGAATAATTTCTTAGGCCCTATAACATCTACACAACTCTGTCATATAACATGCACGGTATCTAGACATAATTAATAGTTGTACAACGGTGAAGTGCCGATATCGACTTTTTTTAACTATTTATACATTTGTTCGAGTAGTAGGAGAATTATTAAAATAAGTATCATTATTACTAAATATTACTGTACGCGCACATGAATTGAGATGTCTCAACTGCGCTCACGTAATTCATTGTTTTTGCTCGCACGTAACATAGTAATAACTAATAATAATACCAATGTATGAGAAACCTATATTAGATTATACAGTTATTAATTGGAATAAATGAGCTTATTGTCGAATGTGTGTAGAAAAGATACCCGTCGACGACTGTGACCCAGCGCGGAGGTTTCTTCTTTTTCGATATTTTAATTTGTATACGATTAATACAAGTATATTATTAAAGGACTGGTACATTATACTCATTTGAAAATATTGTAATTTTTAGCTGTCACTGAAGTTAGTATAGGTATTGAAATGCAAACACTTGACGGGCTAGGCACTGCCAGGATCGCAGTCGACGTTTTCGTCGTATAAACTCGATGGCGTTAACATCAAACATCCCAGGCATTAATAAATTATCGCCACGAAAACTTGGCTGGGCACCTATATAATGATGACCAAATGACCACCAATTATTCAGTATTTTTGAAAAGTTTTATCTCCTTTAGCTAACTGTTAGGTAATTACAGAGGGGCTTAATACATTATGGACTATGATCTACAGAAGTAATAACAATACTTTTACTTTTTAAATCTGTACTGAGTTTGTAGTATTTATAGACAGTACTGATTAGTTTTGAAAAAAATAAATAGTTCCGCCTTTATTAGAGATATTCATTAGGTATTTTGAACTAAAATATTTTATTGGGCACTTATCGACTTAAATTTATGTGCTTGAAGTGACAACATTATAGGTTAAATTTACAAAAAATTAGGAGTTTTTTAAAAGTGTAATAATACATTTAATTCAGCCCCGATTGTATGATTATACCGGTGCATATTTCTTCAGTTTAGCCATTCTTCTACTCTAACACCTAATATATGCATATCTGAACAAACGGTTTATTCTTGAAACATACTGGCAAATTTCTAGTCTATCGATTTTTTTATTTATTGCTTCTTATCAATACCTATTTTAAGTGTACACTATACAATCGTCGAAACGACCATACCAAAACTTATGTGGAAATAGTGCAACTACTACGCGATATGGTGGTTTTATACGAAGTGATTTAAATATTCGCCAGTGTTGACTGTTTCGCACACGCCAGTGGCTATAGAGACTTATGATAATGCGACCGAGTAAAAGGATTGATCCTTCATATATGTATGTATAATCAATGGTAATTGCTGGTAACTGGTATATAATATAAAATATAATTGCTACCTATATGATTATCTTGCCGTGTTACACGGGTATTGGACAAAGATTGCAAAGAATAATAGGCATTGTTGGGCACGTCCACTTAAATCTCGAATTAAACGATCGTGTTCCTATTCGATACCTATATTATAATACATTGCAATAATATTATTAATCAGTATACACATAACACTTGAGCTCGACGACTGAGTAATAGCTCCAGGACTGCAAGATAATATACAGTGTGGGTTTTCTAACTTACTGCAGGCGTTCCATTTCTCGGACAATTTTGATTGATTTGTATACACAATATTATAATCAATGGTCCGAAGCATGACATTTTGTGTAACTACTAAAAATCTGTCTCATACTTGATGAGAATAAGATCAAAATATTCTTTATTTTTCTGTTAATTTTCAAGTCCATATTTTCTATAGCAACATTTTCAGATACCTACTGTCGGATAAATGTAGTAACCACTTATGGGTTTAAAAAACACTTGGCTGAGAAAACGATTTTCACACTTTGAATTAATCCCAACACTATTGCCGGGTTGCACGAACAATCACTAAACATTTAATGCCTCGATGGTCCTTTAAACATGATTTAGTGGCCCATGATTAGTCCATTAAATTTTATTGGACCTTTAAATTAATACATTTTTCATGCAACCCGGCATAAGTCTTAATTCAGGTGCATCATTACAGTCGTTCAGTTCTTGGTGCCATATGATTGCAGGACATTTTTAAATCATTATCAGCCCAAGCCTGTAGTTATAGAGGGATATTACCAATTTGCTCCAAAAAAATTAATTTTATTTGGGTACAGCCTATTTGCGTCAAAATAAAAAAGTATGTTTTTTCAATAGCAATTTGCGCCAAATTAAGCTATGTGAACATTTTCAGTAACGACTTGGTATAATACTTTAATGTATACTATGTTTTAAAAACACGACATAGTTGTTTTGTTGTAACACTTTTAACTTAAATTTATTAGTTCTTTTCATAAATCTACAGATTTTTAAGTTGCTTTTGTATATTATTGCGTAGACGGACTGAAAACAAGTTTTATATCACTTTTATTATGCTGTGCGGTATGTAGGTACTCCGTTATCGGATATCGTTATCTTAATTATCGAATAAGAACCAATTGCAGTGTGATTTTATCAGACATTCGTTACATTACACTATATTAGTAGGTACATAATATTCTCGTCTGTGTTTTTTTTATTTTAATAAGTATAATTAATGAAAATGGAATATACGACAAGCAATACTAATACTATTTAAATTTAGTAAAATGTCTTATTTCAATTTTTTTTTAAATATATGTTGTGTCTTTAAAATATATGAATTGAACCAAATCGTCAATGTTAATGTTCAAGTAAAATGTATACAAAGGTAAATTTGGCTCAAATGGATTGTTAGAAGAAAACATACTTTTTCTATTTTGGCGCAAATAGGCTGTATCCAAAACGGACAAATTTTTTGTTTGCACAAAACGGCGATGCCCGTTGTAGGTTGTAGCAGTAACAGTAAATACCGAATGTCGTAGTATGTTATATAAATGCCTAACGGGTTATAGTGATAAGATTTAAGATATCAACATTAGGGTTTAAATTTTTGCTCCCTCACTCAGACCATATTTTAGCATCAGAAAAATTTAATTTCATTGTATAACAGTTTATTTATCCATCATCATTTATAATATTTGAAGGTTTGGTTAATTTCATTTCGTTTACTAAAGTAAATAAGCTTAATAAAAATAAGCCACATTCCCTCCCTCGTGAACTCTGCCGTGATCCGTTCATGTCACCGTATTAGGACGTCTAGAACTGATTTTCACTAATCTTGTTAAGACAGGCAGTGCTCAAACGACCAACTCTGAAATAATGTTTGTGCTAATATTTGATACATAAGCACCCCCCCCCCTCGAGTTATACAGCTTGTACCACCGATCATGTGGCTTAGTTGAGCATGTGCTCCAACGTAGTGCATTCTTAAAGCCGCACTTAATCACATAATATTTTAATGTTTTTATACGGTGGATTTGTGCCTATACGCAGGTACCATGTTGTCCATAATATACTGCGGGTACCGATAAAGTTATTAAAATCAGAAGTAGGTAGGCATATATCACATCATACACGATATGCGCATTGAGAAATGAAAAATAACAGACCGACAGACCAACCATACTATTGACGAAACACATAGTATTTTAGTTATTTTCAACATCCATGACCTAAGGATCACCCTAGTGTATATGTGTGTTTGGGGTGTCACCTGTTTTTCTAGATAGTCGACCGAAAGATCCAACAAATCACGCGATTCGTATTCCGCGTGATCGGCAGGCTGGTGCTCCGGGGCGGCGGCGGGGCTGGCGCTGGTGCGGGCGGCACCGTTGCCGGTACCGGTACCGGTGGTGAATCCGGTAGCAATGGTGGTCGGCGGATATCGATCACGTTACCCACGTTCCCGCCGTCCACGGATGACGAAGACGAAGATGCTGCGACGGTCCTGCCAACAGCCGACACGTCGTCCTCGCCGGCCTCGCCGTCATCAGACGCTGACGCGTTTGCATCAAGAATAGCGGAACCGGCTTCATCCGAGGTGACCGCCACCGATTCTGCGCCGGCCGCGTCCGTAGACTCGGCCGCACCCGCTGATTCAGCCGTAGCGGCTGACTCTGCCTCCGAAGTGGCGGTCACTACCGCTGACCCAGCGACTACCTCCGCCCCGGTCACCACCACCGCCGCCAAAGCCGCCCCGGTAACCAGCGCCGCTCCGGCCGCCGGATCAGTCTCCACCACCACCGTCGCAGCCGCTGCCGCCGCCGCTGCAACCGCTACCGCCAGCGCAATCAGCTCGCCAACCACTCAAATGGTAAATCCCGAGGACGGCCCATGTCGGTGCATGTTATAACTGCAGTACAATATATTATTGTTATTATTATTTTAAGATTATTATTTCTAATAATATTTTTAGACGTGATAATATGATATGTTATGCTAGTTAAAACAATAACAATAGTGGCGTATTAAAGGCATGCTTACATCATAATTTATAATAAAATAGTGTTAAGTTCGTGCGCGTCCGAATATTTAAAGACACAGCTAAATGCATGTGCCGAATGAGTTAATACGATAATATTGCGACAAGAGTTTTCGTTTTTATGAGGCCGAGGACGTTATATACTTGCTAGGACAAGTCTTGGAAACAAATTCCATTTTTAACACTGTCGATATGATACATACCTACACCGTATTTGGATAGAGCTGCAATATTTTTAACCGATTTTCACTTGTATTCAATGGACGAGGGCAAGTTTAAAATTGTTGTCCATAATATTTAACTGTTGTAAAAAAGAAATTATATTTACACTGATATTTTAATTATTCAAACAACACAATTGCATAGCTCATTAACGCATAATTAAAATTACCATTCAAATAGTATACAATATATTATTACAAATCGAAGAAGAAACTAATTTTAAAAATCCAAATAATTTATCCAAGATGACCATAAGCGCACTACAATATTACATTTTTCCTACAATGTGTGATTGGCATTATTTTAACATAATAGTTAATGTTCTTTGGTACACTGTAACATTATTAATATTTTACACTATTGTTTCAATACAAATCATCCAATAATTACATGGAAATATTAGTGATCTATTCTTTCGAAAAACTTTTATCCACATACTATTCAATAAGTATTAATTTTTCATAGGTATCATCCACTACATTTGTATATTTCTTCTCTTTCCGTCTTACAAACGACGATCTACAATTTTTATTTCACGTTTGCGTAGATTACGATGGTATAAAAAATAATTATTAATGTAAACCAATAGCTTCAAATCAATACCATTAATATTATAAAATAAAAATCGATTATGTAGGTAGCACTTTTTTTTTTATAAATCAATATTCAGTACTGTTTGAACAAACCAAGAAGTATAGTATAAAACATAGATAACAATAATTGATGTCAAATAGTAAGAAGTAAAAAGATATAAATACTTCATAAAAAGAAAATACGAATATTATATATGTTTACAAAAATATCATTGATTATTCTCATTAAAATAGAATCGCACTGTATCACAATTACAATTTATGGATTTAAGACCATGCCCTGTGAAGAGATTAATATTAATCGTCGTGTACCATACCAGACTGTAATAATAATAAACATAATGTCAACTAATAATAAAAAGACAGAATTAGCACAAGAAAAATGTTTTTCCTAAATTTCGGAGATCCTTACATTCGTGCTTTTAAGATTTTTATTTTTCTGGAAAATACTTTTCGAGATAATTACCAGGCAACACCCATACGGACAATTTATTCTTATACTACGTAACTTTAATAATAACGACCATCATGGTTTGCCGCTATGTGTCAACGTGTGTCTACCTATAACAGTGTCATCGTGAGCGGTGGTGATATGATACAATTAGGTATTTTAAAACATATTAAAATTGTGCTTATTGCAGTAGAATCATATACCAATGTGCCATTATATCATTTTATCACCATCGTGTGGAAAAACAACTATTTCAAATTCTCCGTTTTCTATAAATTTAACGTATCGACCCAACTGTACCTATTATTATTTTATTAATCCACCTTCCGTTACGCTGACGTGATCGGTATTCGTATTATATACCCGTTAATTTGACATCTGTACTATGCATACGCGCGAATAAAGCGACACCATTATTATTGTTGATGTTGCTGCTGTTGTTGTTGTTGTTGTTGTTGTTGTTATTTTAATTTGCTTTTTGTATAATAATATAATATTTGTATTGTAATGTTTTTGATGCCGCAGTAGTTGTTATTGTTATATGGCTGGTGAAAAACTGCTTTTTTGACAGTGTATGCGTTTAAATGTCGTTAACTAATATCATTAAAATCAGTAATAGTACAGAATTGTTTTATAAACGATTAACAATATTATTATTATTAACACTGGCGATCGCATCTTGGTCGCGATGAAACGTATATACGATTATAATGTATGAGTGAATATTGATGCCTAGCTGTTATAAGACATTGTATGTGTGTACAATGTACATGCTGGATAATATGTTATTTGTTTATTTATTTATTGCATTTATGATCAAGGCCTTTGGATAGCATTCTATATGATATTATATTAATATAGTAAATCGTACTTACTAAAAATCACATAGGTAATTAAATAAATACACTAATTAGTTGCATGAATTTATTAGGAGAAAGATAAACAAGTTGTGTGTAAGCACCTATAATTTATACATTTATAATGAGAATGAAGGATCTACAATAGTTAGACGCATTAGACAACGTAAAGGTTCATTGAACATAATAACATTATTTTTGATTAAGCATGTGACAATGAAGAAAGATAAATACAAGAGGGTGAAACAGGGAGGGACTTTAAAATTAATTCGGGAGTAATAGCTTTGGAGAGTTAATAGATCCACCAAAAAGGCCGATTTCGATCAACAAAGGAAGATATTCCTAACTGACAAGCTTCTGGTCGGTAATTGATGTTTTCATAGAACTTAGCATTGCTGGGCATAACACGTTACGGCGCAGAAGATTAACTTCTTAACCTGTTAGAAATGATTTATTTTAGCTTATATTTTTCAAATTTATAGTATTACTATTTATTATAGTAATATTATTTTATTGTATGTATCATATTTATATATAATTAAACTCAACACTGTTATATGATATACGGTGACGTTTTTATAACACGGCAGTTCACTTTTAACAATTACATAATCATGATTTTAATGCTTTTGTAGAGTTGATTGCATTAATTGTTTTTGCAGGAAAATGATTATGGAGTCGTACTTCATTTATGGTTTAATTACAGGTTTTAAGTTTTAACACCAAATCGAATGGTGCGAACGTCGTTGGCAGAAATATTGAGTTTTTACTTTTGACGGTTTAGAGTTTTAGACGATAATATATTATATTTTCACACTATGGTACCTATGGTAAAAGCATGGCATGAGGTGCAGTGTACAATGTTATAGGACGTGGCATCGTATTTCTCCACCATAGTTATCCATTTATACTAGTTGTAAATTAATGTGCGATCTGTAAATACATTTCATATTTTCACGTTCCGAATATCGTTCGTGGAACAGTGCTTAAGGTCGGAGGAGCAAAACGAACGACAAATAAATAAAATATACTATATAGATACAAAATGATTCATTAAAGATAAACTATTTTTTTTTTTTTTTTATTATAACTGTTTTTACATTTTTTATTTCCAATAATTTCTTAAAATAAAAATCCAATTTCTGAAATTACAAAGTTTTGATTAGAAGTAACATTAAATACTTGAACCCAAAAATGTTTGTCTAAAAAATAATACTTCCAAAATGTTATTAACACGAGCGTTTTTAGAAAATGATTGTGTACTGTTTACCTAAAGAAAATAATAATAATTATGATCACAACAAATCTTTAACAGCGTTGAATAAGGTCCCCGACGATGGTTAGCACGGCACTCCTAGTAAATACCTACGCATGCTTTTTGGTTGATTGAGAGATATTAATGTACATTAATATTATATAACTGTGCATGAGACAATCATGAGAGATTTTCACTGAGGTTTTCATCACTGTTATTATATTGTTATAGCCATTGGACTCAGATAACACAGTCGGCACCGGTATCGTAAAGAGGACGGCGAGGGAAGTTTCGACAAACGAACCAAGCTCCACGAAAAAACGGTCACCGCTCACAGACACTGGTAAAATATGACGGAAATAAGTATAATATTACAACTAAAATATTATATTATAATGTTGATAATTTATTTTTTTTTATTATTTATTTCAATAATTAATTAGGTGAATGGTAATTAGTATATTATTTTTTGACTATTTATTTTTATGTGTGAACATTAATATTGTAATAAAGTTAATTTATGTATGATATCCTTTTTTTTCTTTCATTTATTTTTTAATATTGCACGTGGATTAAGGGTTACATTCTCGTTAGATTGGTAATACTCTGTACCGCATATTCTAATACTTCACTGTTACACTATAATTTAATGTTTACTGAAGAAACCGATAAAAAGTATTCAGTCTATTATTCTTCTTCAGGATAGGCACTTTTATATTGTTGTTATTATTATTATTATTATTATTATTATTTATATCAAAGTTGTAGTAAGCTTAAAATAAATTGAAATCCCTGTCTAGATTGACTCTGAATCGCAGTTACTCGATAAATTAAAATATTTTCAATCATTTAATCGGTTCCTTGTATCGTTTTCATCGGTAACCTAATACTGTAATCGTACTGCAGTAGCAACCTGTTGTGATACATTATACTAAGTATAGTAATAGTAAAAATAGCAATAATAATAATAACAACAATAATAATAATATGATACGACATGGGTCCGGAGTTAAACCATTGAAATCGCTTTAACGGCACTGCTGTTTAGATGTCCAACTTGAATTCGGTTCGATTGAAAACTCTCCGGCCCATATTCATTTTTATCTGCCAACGACTTTTAGTCAGTTGGTGTAGCCAGGTGGCTTAGATGTACATATATTACCTAATATTAAAATTATATTCGAGAGTAACTGCAAGCATGGTATTAAGTTCGATTTTCTTGCAAATTTAGTGATACCAGCTGTATTGGAATAAGCCGGACGTTATTCAAAGCCACAACGGTATATCGAATACACACTATATAACTGCAGGAAAATCGAATTTAATTAAAAATCCAACGTTACAATTGGTGCTGGCTGCCGTTTACAATAAGTTAAAGAAAGAAAAAATGTCTTTTGTACTATCATAAAATGTCACATAATATTATAATAATATATTAGTTTAGTATTAGAAAACCAAAAACTTACATTTATGATAATCATTAGGTTGAAAACGATTTGTATGTAAATATAATATAACACGAGTATTGTGTAATCGTTGTACCTATGTAATTATAATATTTAATATTATATTAAATAGACTTAGGTAAATTAAATTATTTCTTTTACATATTCGTGTTATTTAATTTTCTAACTAGAAAAAAATGCTTAAATATTAATAACATTGTACATTGTAATAATAATAATAGTACCTAAGTAAAAAGTTTCTGAAATAATATGATCTCTGTATCAGGATAATGTACAATAACACGTGGTGTATGATACAATCGACCGTTGGTAACTCGAACTGTCCTGTGGGTATGGCACATAAACGTCGTACACGACGATTTTAAAAGGGTGATTTTGAAATCGGTATTATTCGAATAATATTAATATCTTAGTTTGATTTACCGATAGTCGGATGTATGCAACCACGACTGTCGGCTGCTTTGTCGTGTCGTTCATTCGATATGATTATAATATTATTATGATGTCCAAGGGCGCCTGCTGTGGGTCAAGTGCAGGCAGTGATCGAGCCAATTTATTGGGTAGAAACGCGGTTTGCCATTGTCACCCAAAATACGGTGGGCTGGCGAATCACCCCCCTCCCAACACATAGATATACGTTGTGCGCCCTTGTGAACATCGATATATTATAATAATTAGTACATTGATATAATATTGTATTGTCGCTCTAAATTTGATCTGTGCGCATAATACATGTAAAGCTGCGCAGTGTTGTCGCGCCTATTACGCGTGTTGGTTTACAATACCGACACAGAAGACCATACCGTACTTAAAACATCAACCACGGTTGCACACGAAACACGCTCACGTTGTGAGTATTTTATGTATAGCACGCTTATTATTATTATTATTATTTTCACCTAACGGATACTATGTACATTATATACACATATAATATTGTCCGTATCGCGTTATACCTTTACACCCGCCCACAAACGCTTAATTAAACCACAGTAACTCTATTACGTGCCCTCGCCGATTATACTACGAGTGCTTTCGTAAAAAAAGTAAAACAAAAAAATTACCAACGGTACGGCGGCGGTGGCGTATTGAAACGGTCTGTGTCGATATATATATAATATGGTATAATAATATGTGTGCTTAAAGGTGCGTGCTCTCGAGTATTGACGGTCACACGAGATATTTCTGTATCCCTTCTGTGTCCGCAGAAAGAAAAATAATAATATAACAGTCTGGTATGGTGTTGTGTTTCAGATAACGACGTGTCGTCTGACAACGCTTTGTCGTCGAACGCCGGAGACGACGCCCAAGCTGAGACGGTCGCGGACGAAGATCCCAGGAACAAACGGTTCTTGTTCAACCTGCGTGGAGGAGCCGGAGGTGGATCCGGCAACTTTTTATTCGACCTGATCCGAGTGAGTGCAATTAAATATATATACTTCGTTCTATTTTCATCATAATATGATGTAGGTTACATACTTTTTTTCTTTTCCAATTTTGCTACTAAACCGCGAAAACACGACCAACTGTTATATGTTTTAATAGCATCTAATAAACAACCCAAAACGAAAAAAATGCTTATTACCTATATACCTATGTATAATATGACGCTGTGTACACATACCTACTACTTGCGTCCCGAATTGATAAGAGCAAATAACTATTGTGCATGATCAGCTTTCGGAGTTCGAACGCAATATGACGACAGTCTATAAGTGTTAATTTCCACACTATGAAATTTCGTCCGAGTATATCATACTGATTTTTTTGATTACTGTAAGGGCAATGAGACATTAACTAGTTAATAAGTCTTGGATAAGTGGAGATTAATTTATTAACACCTTTTTCACTAATGGAAAACAAGACTCTTGAACTTGAAAAATATTAGCTTCTCTTGAAATAATGGAACTCACCTAAATTTTGGAGTCCCACCTCCCAAACTATCAGTTTTAAAATAAATAACTACAATTTACGAGTATATGTATAAATACCTATGCTAGTAACGAATCCTTATAAGCCATTTATTATTATTATTTATTATTAATCATGTAATCAATGTAATCATTTTTTTCAAATAAAAACAATTTAAATTAATCAAATTTATTTTAAATTTATACATTAACTATATTTCATAAAAAGTAGATGAGCTCTGCTATCTATATCTGTCACGATATTGGGATTCTTATCAATATGTTTTTGGGACGCAATAGTAACACGCAGGCGCACAGTCTAATATAATATAATACTGTACAACACATTATTCTAAGCTCTTAAATACTCAAACCCACGATTTCAACATTTTAATATCACCATCACGTCATCACTCATCACACTAATTCAACCGCACGCATGTGTATTAATACTCACGAATGTAGAATCTTGTGCGATTCTGAAATACCCCAACTGCAATATGAAATGTACAATGATACCTACGAATCCGATTACCGTATTTTACAAGCTTACAACTCGTCCATTGCCATAGGTTACTCTACCTACTAAACGTCATGCAAAACGACGTACCGATTGGTCAACTATGGCACACTTTATAATAATATTTATTTACTATGAACTCACCACTACTTTACAGCACAACGTTTCCGAACGAAAATTAACGATAACGCAATATTCTACACGCATTAGCCTGTTTCATTGATATACTATCACTAAATCTCCGAGGCAGTTTCGATAACGTTTCGCTACAAACTTAATATTTAATGTATCTACTGTGGTTGTACGAGGTTCAATTCTGTAGATTCCACATTTTGATTGTACGGGTAACAATTAATACAATTACAGTTTAATATTGCCAATAAATTGCGATTATAAAAATTGCAGTGGGTCAACCGCTAATTAAATAAGAGTCCGCTCAGTGCCTCAGTATTACCATGTATTATCAATTATCATACGTTCACCGGCCATCTAACAAGGCCAATATTCCAACGAATTCTTAAGAAAACCGAACGCCCACTTTTTAATAATAGAATATCGTGTTTCATTTGTTTAAAATACCCACCTATAGGACAACTTTTACTTGAAACCTGTCAATTGCATTACCTACAATTTATATATAAGCTTGAGACGGTTTTACGGTCAAGTTATACAATGAACCATACGTTTTATTGGCATTTCTAAGGCGTTAACCACATTGAGTAAATCTCAGCTGTAGTACAAATAATAATAATTAAATGCAGAGCGAATTTGGATAAAAAATTTCAAGTCTTAGGTATACCTAATAAATCAAATTGTTTAGGTTTGATTCTCGAAATGAGAAACTATACTGGATTAAAAAAAACGCTTTTTGAATAAAAGATCTATGATAAATTGGAAAATAAACAGTTTGAAAAAACCAAAAATATTTGAATCTTCGACTGTAATTCTGTGCACTGAAATTCGATTCTATAGCAACTAAATATTAGATTACCGCTATGATATGTTGAACCATTATATCACAGTTTACTATCGTTGAACAACTTTTCTATGTACTTGTTTGTATATAATATTATATAATATTTTTGTATATGTAGAATTATACTAATAATAATACATTTTTTCCCCCTATTAAACGAAAAAACAGTATAGAAACGTTTAGATTAAAAGAATTCATTTTTTTTAAAATTATTATTACTATTCCAATTAGATTCTGTCTGTACAATTGGTCTATTAATAATTTTATAATAATTGTAAGTATTTTAAAAATACTTTCAAAAAAACAGTTTCAATACACAATTGATTTTATTTAATAACGTGAGCAGAGATCAAACATTTAGAAATCTGAAGTTATGATAAATTGCCATGCATGTCAAGCTGATAAATGCGACCACGTTCATAATTCCGAGGATCTTTCAAAACGAACTAATTAATTCAAATTTTAAACATGTGTTCATTTTAACATAAAGTATTGTAGTGCTAAAGTAACAGTGCAATATCTTTAAATGACGAAAGTGCAGTAATTCAATTTTTTTCATCGCGTGTATGAGTGAAAGGTTATTTTACATTCTTGAAAATGTAAAATCAATTAAATGATAAGACCTAAAAAATGCTGACCTATATGTAAGCTATTGCACAAATGAGTGCAGCAATCGGAGGTGATAAATATTAAAATACGATGTATCACTAAACGGTCATTCTGAATCTCCCCATATTATAGCACCAATACGTGTAGGTATACCCATATTTATGTAGTACGACCGCGAGATATAATTTGGTTATCGTTCTGGTCATCGTGGTCGGCCACCTGGGGAAGGTGTACATAATTATGTAATATAGTTTTTTGTACCATAATGATTTAGTTTGCTCTCGTCGAATGAAATATTAACCCTTTGTCGACCTCGTTACCTATTAAATTAATTAGCGTTTTTTATGTGCTCACATACTTAAACAAGAATTGTTTGAATTGCCGCTGATCTAAATAAAATTTAGTAAATTGTATCCTACGTTTGATTAGAATAAAAAACAAATCAATGCACTTGTTTTTTTTTCAAATACCAAACCATAATTGAATAGTTTTTTTCAACATGTGTCTTACACATAATATTTAAAAATTTTATTTCTCATACAACGCGGTCAACAAAGGGGTTTTTTCTTAAGAAAAAAGAAAAGGTCTAAAAAAAAATACGGTTTGAGGCAAAAAAAGATTTTTTGGTTTTCAATAGAGGGGAGCGGACAGAGCAGCTAGGGCTGCCGGTGGTTTCTACAGAGTGGTCGCAGGCACCGACCCAAACACATTAACACTCGCACAGCCTCTTCAATATCCATCGGTAAATAACTTAATTCCTAGTCAAACATTTTTTTTAAATTTTTTTAACATGTAGTTCCCGAAATTAAAAAAAAATCATTTAAAAAATTAAGGACGACACTATATCGTGAACAATATCACTCCACCCCAATAATAATATACAATGTAGGTTATAAAACACGGTTTATTACACTAAAATTGATTAGGTACAATACATGTTGTTATAATACCATAATGCACCGAGGTCAATATAAGACATAAATAATCATTTAAACTTTATAAATTATCGTTTTGTTAAAAAATATAAACTCGTTGGGTGTATGATGGAAGTCAAGTAATCGCTTCTACTTTCACTAACCACTATTATGTAATAACCCAGTGCAATTCGTGACATAAATTGTCATCGTTCGTTAGTGCGTCTAAAAAACGAGTCACACTTGCCAATATCAAAACTTATAATTATGTATATTATTATAATGCATCAATTACATCGGCTACATCTGGTTTGTTTTAAACAACAATTAAACAATATTTACTACTTATAACACTATTGATTTAAATTTTACGAACTGCATTATGACTCCGTCTACTTTTATGAATGACAATATCAATACACATAACTGTTTTTTTTTTAGCAGTGGATGTAAAATATATACATAACAATAATTTCGACAGGAAAAATGTAATTAGTTTTTCAAATTCATTATCCAGTAAAACGGAGTGGACTTTTCGCCTTTGATATCTGACAAAATCCATATACTTACCATGATATAATAATTGATTTTTCTGCAACCATACAAATAAATAAACATTTAAATTTGTAAAATGTATCTACATAAGCTACTTATTTTATTTTGTACTCGAGCAATATACCACATAATATTATACATCACAAAAAATATCTCGTGGGTACATATCCACACATTTGTGTCATACGTTGTGCAAACATTCAAAATTATACAATGTGTTACAATAATTGAACTTAGAACTACCTATACTGGATTAAAATGTTATCTGAAAAATGAAAATTATTTTAACCTAATATTTCAATATAACAATATGCCCACTAGCCATCACACGAACGCTCTCAACTCTGATTTGCCTATATTATTATATATATTATAAATATAATTTATAATAATTTATATTGTAAATGTATGTAACTAAATTTCATATATATCCATATAAAAAATCTATAGTCATCTTTATTTTATTATTCTCAGTTTATTAAATGATTTAAGCTTAATCAAAGTATAGGTATGATTTTAAAAATATTCGTATAACATTATGTACTTATAAACAACATATTATGAGATCATAAATGATACTCAATTTTTTTATATTTTTTCATTAAAATTGAACAAGATGGCTTAATGTTATCATTGATTGTTAAAATGAACCAATACCTTTACATGCGTTATACATTCTTGCTTATCGCGTCTCACGCCTTATTCATTGATAATAATGAAAAAACAATCGTGCTGTTCAAAGATTTTTTTCAATGTTATTATTATATTACCGCACGAGCTGTGTACAATTTATCTAAATACATTACACAAATATGAAATATATTATTTTAGATCCGTAAGAGTTGAGGGTGGTCTATATCAGCCAAATTTACGGCGAGATCTATAATATAATAGATATTATTATGTTATAATATTGCATTGTCGATATTTTTAATTGATTACGATACAAAACTTTGCTCTACCTTACTGTATAGTGTGCATACACTAATTATCCAATTCTCGACCAAAATTATCAACGCAGAAATAAAATAATTTCAGAGAAAAAACAAAATACAAAACACAATAACCAAAACAAATTGTATGCTATATATTAATAATTATTATTGTATATACCTAGCAATGTAAATTATTTTATTATCACCGAGAAATGCCAACTATGATCCTTTTTTCTGTGTGTTTTGGTCCCACGACAGTTGGTGGCTGGAAGCGGGGCCAATCAAGATAGAGACGAGTCATCCGACTCGGTGCCAGCCGAAGGCGAAGCCCAGGAGGTGCACGCGGAAGTGAATGCCAAGGAAGACGGATACAGCGTCGGCGTACCCGGACCACTGACGAGAATATTCGTAATTGCCAACAGGGGAGTGGCCAATTTGGTCCAAGACTTGATACTGGTAAGTTGTGAAGATTAGGGTTTATTTAAAAGCTTCACCTGCGAACTCGAAGGATAATGAAATATATTACATTATAATATTATACGAATTACATATAAAGTCATTATTCTTCGCTACAGCACAACAATTAAAGCAATTGTACATTTTGAACTACTTTTTATCGAAATCATTTTTTAGTTTTTTATTTCATACATTCTGAAGCAGAATAGTTCTCCGATGTAGAATGCCAGGATAATCGAATTTTAAACAGTAGTTAATTAGTCATGCTTCTAAGTGTTTAAAGTTTGGATGAGCGGAGCATCGTTCGTGCCAGTACTAACCCTGTGTGGCTATGCTATACTTCACAGTCCTCTTATCCAAAATTTAAATACTTAGAAAACTCATAAATAATCTAGGACTCGTCCGGTATTTGATGTTCATGCATCTGAATTCTCAAAAGATTACAAAGTTTGAAACAATATGAAAACTAGTTCAGTTACAATTTTTTTTACAAAACTTATAAATGTGCAGAGCATTCATCTCTAAAATATATAACCTTCGACAATATTTATAGTATTTTCGGTGAGCATAATGTAATAAAGTACCTACTTATCAGATGCATGCACGCCCAAACATATTTTATTATATTGTATTCGAAAGTAATTAAAAGTATATCTTACTAAAGGCCGACGCAGTCGAAATATTATGACGAAACTTGAATAATAGTAATAACAATATTATTTAATAAAAAAATATTTAAAAAAATGTTCGCCCACAAAACAGGTGACGGGGTAAATGTTTATTATTACATGATCGAGTTACATAAATAGCTATTAACAACCGTCATTGTGTGTTTTTTCTTTTCAGAGATTGGCCCAGACCACCGAAAGAATAGTGAACTTCAAAGCCAGATTAATTACATCCCTCATCTAAGCAAATATACAAGTTTGTGTAGTAAAATGTAATTTATTACCTGCAAGCGGCGTATTTTAGTCATGACTTATGAGATTAAATCTTAACTTAACGTTTGTTTGCACAACCATAAACCTACGTCAAGTTTTTTTATAATTGACACGATTTTTTAAAGTATGTGTGTAATTATTTCCAATTTGTGTTTTACGCATCAATCACGTCGTGACGCCCACACTCACTCTCGCACACACACACACACTCATATTCATGCACATATCCAAGTATTCTACAACCAAGTCACAACTTATTGAAATAGCTGACATATTACGTTCAATTTATATTTATTTGTTCAAAAATGTTGTTCTATACCCCATTTAAACATTATACGTCAATAACAATTCCATATCTTCCGCACAGTCCACAACTCACTTTGATAGCTTAACTTTTGCAAAACAAGTGCCAAAATACAAAATATAATTTTAAAACCACCATACCATAACGATACGTCATAACACGCGATCACCAATTTGTAATTAAGTAAACCTAAGTAGTGTACTAATATCAGTAGGTATTCGTGTTAAATATAGGTACACAACTTCACGATTTAATCGGCACGTCATATATGAGATACACAGTGTACCTCCAGCTGGTATTTATCGACATTAAAACACTGATTTCAGACTATTGTAGTAATTTAATTAATCAATTAAAAAATCAAAATCAAAATTATGTAGGTACTCATATATAATTATAATTAGTAATAGGTATACAACTGTAAAAACATTATCATATAAATACTTATTTTCCATGTAGTATATTATTTTTATTTATTAGACCCATGAAATACCTAAGTGAAAACTTGTCCACTGTATAAAATAATATTGGTATCATTTTTTTTTTACATATTATATAGGGTTTAGGTAGTTTTTTTCTTGTATTTTTAAGTTACAGACAAAATAAATAATTGCTCAACAATTTTGTTTATGTATAATATTATATATATAACGCATAATATGTTATAATGACGTAAGAGTATCATATTATTTTAATAAGAGACACATTTCATCCATGTTAATATAATTTACCCATACACATTATACATACCTACTCATTACTCATAGTATAATATTGTATACTAAATATATTATGTTCATTTTCTTCATAAAAATATCTTCGCGGGGTGTTCTCCTATATAAGTAATATCGTACAATTAGTCTACTGCGCCATATCGTAGACTATAATATACTTGTAACTAACATATATAATTATATATTATAACATGATAAATAGAGAGGTGCCCAATAAATTTAATATTGAAGTACACTCAGTACTTAAGTCACAATAATAAAATGTACCTAACATGCTCATGTGAGATCTATAAACGAAAACCACAAAGCATTGAAGCCCTATTACGTAGGTCATCTCTTCTTTCATTGATATATCGTAATTGTATTATTATTATCTTTTTTCTTTCATAGTTATTGTAATCATACTTAGAACATGTGATACTACATAGTCATGGTTATGCTGTTTATTGTTTTATACCCATTTATTATGTAGATACCTATACGTATATCAAATTTTCCGCCTTTCGTTGAGTCATAAGTGCAATATAATACTACTAATAATAATAATATCATGATTATTAAAAATAATGAAAATAAAATAAGGGCATGCCGGTCCTTTCCAGTTTCCACCAAAAAAAAAAAACGATTCCCAGATTTACGCATGATGTTTTTGCCAATAACGATAGAGGTTCGATTCTCGTTTCCGCCAAAGTGTCTATCTTTATAAATACGTTTCCGATAAATATTGTTTTTTAATAATTTAATAGCGCAAACATGTAACAGTAAAAAATTATTGCATATCATAATTAACAGAAATTTGTTTTAATAATATATTTAATAATAATTAGTTTTTTTTTAAATGAATTTATAATTTCACAGTAAATATGGTACAAATATTAATTATCATAGTAAGCAAAGTCAATATATAGTAGCATTTCACAAAAACCTAAGTAAAAGTAATGATTAAAAAACACATAATTAAAAAAAAACGGTTGTAGCAAAGGTTTAACCTATACTTGTTAGTAGTTTCAGTTGACTCATATGTTTTAATTAAAATTTTAAGTTTTGTTAGTTGAAACATATTATGAGTTATGACCTACTAAAAAATTAAAATTATTGGTTTTCAAACTATTTTTGGCAGAAACGAGTGTCTCCCGGTAAAACAATAATATAAATGCCGTTTCTCCAACTATCGGCTCGTCGAAAATCTAGATGTATAAATGTTGTAGCGAGAAATATTACTAACAATAATAACATTAATATAAACATAATTTCAATCGTCGATCTATCATACTACAATCGGTTAAAAACAACAAAACAGACTCATAACGAACCGAAGTCGAGAACCTACTTACTTTATTATACTTGTCTATTGCTTTAGAATCAAAATAATTATCGGACGTTCACGTACAAGGACGGTGGACTTTTGTTTTTCGCCTTTTTTCGTGGACGTGTAGGTGACCAGTGGTGTATGGTGTACGAGTAGTGGTTTGGGCGTCCAGGCCGCTGCTGTGGGTTGAGTTTGTTTTTTCCGACCCCTTCACAACTCAAATACACATATGCATACATCACTAAGTATTCCCTTTCAAATGAGTTTCATATAAACTATAAAGTAGTTTTCAAATGGCATGTCCGTTTTCTGCAGTACAATATAATATTGATTTTTTTCAAATATATTTTCATAAATTATATGCCACGGTCGATAACACGTTAATTTCCGTCGAATTAGCTCCGTGCCATGAAATTATCCCTAATATTCTTGTTTTCTATTTGCGTTTGATCCTCGAATATTACACAATATAAAACTGAAACTGATACATACTTACATCTTACCTACTTAGATACAATTCTAATGCATGTTGTGTGCGCATGTATTATATAATATTATAATACTGCTGGTTCAGTCGTATTTAAATTTCCGGATATTATAATATTATGTAGGTATAATATATTATTGTATTTCACTTAATTAAGCTATAAATCTGTTTGTCAAACCATGATCATTATATTATTATTATTTTATGTGTGTATTAATTGTGTAAAGTCGTTAGTTGTTAAGTTAATTATAATGATGATATAAATATATAATATTAATTGATTTGTATAGTGTTAATGATATGTAGACAAGATTGAAATATATAGTGATTTTAAATTAAATATATTATATTATAATATTCAAAGACAATTTTTTATTATAGTATACTAGTTCATTTGTCAGTAACTATTTTTTCTACAGTGACGTGTGGTTGCAGGGGGAAATCAAGAGGATTTAACAATCTCCACCCCTGAACAAAAAGAAGTATTCGTGGACTACTGGACTAATAATTATGAAAAAATATAACTTTATAAATTACTTAGAAATTGATATTTATCTGTTTTATCCATTTTGCCTTATCAAATGGTCTCGATTTGTTGATATTTTTTTCAAATTAACCTGCAAAAGAAATATTGCGAATCATTTAGATGCCAAGTTTTGAAAAATGAAATGGGTCTTAAAACGAGATTATTAAGTTTAGTAAATGATTGTGATGGATTTTCCGTTGTACTATTTATTTTAAAACACTAACACAGCCTAAACTGCATTTTATAACTACATGTATCTGTGTCTCAATAGATTTATTTTCCTTATTAAGGAATATTTAAATTCATTAAAATACTTAAATGATCTCCAATAAAAACCGTTAGGCGTTGATTTTAAAAATATTCTAAAAATAAATAGTTTAAGAAATACTACCAGACATTTAGTGGAAAAAAAATAGTTACCATTATGTCAACCAAGAAAGTAAATAATTTGCACACATAGTATAAACTCTAGTCTCTAAAGTAAATTATGATATTTTAACTATTTACCTATATTTACTTTGCTGTTCACAGCAACTGCTGTAAACGCCTGCAGTCATCCATCATTGTGATGTATTATAATATTTAGTTTTTCTCAGTGGTTACGGGTCTGCATCCGTTCACAGTTATTATTATAGTATTTCATGTAAGTAATAAAATATTTATAAATATTTATTTCATATAGTCGATTGGCACGACGTTTCCCGTGAAAAATTAAATAATGCCATTGAAAATCTACCAAAATCCAGATTTCCCCTGCTTAAACTCCGTTAAACATTTACTACAAATATTTTTTACATAGTTATTTGGATAGTTTTGATAAAGTACAAAAAATAGGTCTAAAATTATATTCTTTGAACAATCTTTTATACAAACAAACAAATATTCATGAGTCAACAAATCCCCGAGTGAGCCCCTCTTTATAATGAAACACTTTAAAATGGCGTCGAGATACAAATCCTCTGGTACTTATAACATTACCTTATAACAGTACCAAATTTTACAACCATGAGTGTGAAGTGATAGGCTTAGCTGTGCCTAAAATAATTTTGGAGATTAGTCTTAAATTGAATTCAGACATTGTGCGATGGGCTGCACACGAATCCGGCGGACGAGTGTATATGTGTGGGTGCGCACGGACGGCGGCCTACACGTAACTCGTCACGTCGTGTGAATACTTAAGTTTAAAAAAATCGGTAGCTCTGTAGGCGGGAGTGGACTGTATGGGTAGGTACGTTCAAATTTTAAAATATAGATGATGATTGTGAGGTACCCTTAACGTAAATACAAATCAACAACAATGGTTTTTTACGGTATAAATGTACAGGAGACGGCACAAAACCAATACAAAATTAAAGACGACGACGACTGACGTGTTCGCACTGCATGGCTCGGCGGGCGAATACAAAGTAGTAGAATGGACGAGCGGAGCTCAAATCGCACGGCAAAAAATCGGCCGGACGACAACGCAAATAAATAAAACCGTGATCTCGACCCTGGCGGCCCGAACTCGTTTAGCGGACGCGACGAGTTGGTAAGCGCGAGGGCTCGGGTGCGTTGAACAGAAAAAGATTGTCGTATTGACGGTGACGGCGCACCGGTTCGCGACAATCAGCAACATACAATTAGCGAACTCCCAAAAGCCAAGACGGCTGGAAAACGACAAAATGCCGCGGACGGCTAGCTCGGCACATCCGTCCCCTCCCCGAGGGCGCACAAAGGTCGAGTTAGCCGCCAGCGCCAGGTTGCGATCCGGACGTGACGGACACGTGGATTCAAATTTAATTTTGTACCCAACAGAAATTTACCAATAGTTAAGTACCTACAAGTAATATAACCACGGTTGAGTTAGATCAGATCAAAATGTATTAATAATTATGATATCATTGTGCCTATAATGGACATAAATTATATGTATTATTAGTAGTAACCTAACTTGACGCTATTTTTTATGTAGACAAATCGTCGAGAAGCTTTGGGGAAACCGGAAAACGCATTGATACTGTTTGAAAGTTACTTGCTGATAACTGATAAGTGACTACATACAAATTTGCTGATATAGGTAGATGCCACATTCGATATTATGTTTTTACCTAATTCATTGATTTTAATATTTTTTTTACGTGTTATATCGAAAAGAAGAAAGGAAAAATGATTTGAATGCATGATAAGTGCTAGTTGGGTACTTGGCCTATACTTGAAGCAAAACATGTTTTAAAATTAATTTACACAAAGAAATCAATAGCTTTTAGATTGCAGAGCCAAAACATAGTAATCTATATTAAACTAACAGGCAAAGAGTCTATGTGTATTAGTGTGTAACCCCTTAAAATGGTTCTGAAATTTGATGTATATAGGTTATCCAATACCCGAGGATGTGCACCTCGAATTCAATTTTTCAAATTTTAATTTTAAGGATAACAATTAACAATATAACACGAGGATTTGTTAGCTCACGAAAATCGAATAATTTGTTTTTTTGTATAGATTTCCAATAATTACAGAAAATAAGAAGTTATTATAATTGGATGTAATTTTAAACCGGTATTTCATACTTGATCAAAACTCCAAATCACAGTGTTAAAATTATGTGTAGTTTACATTCAACAGAGTTTAAAACTGGGTAAATCCACTAGCATTGTTACTAGGAATCTGCTAGTAATACAAATATAATAGGAATATCGGTATCAATAATGTATCATGCGCAAAATATTAGATAAATTTAATATTATGATGGTACTATATATAATATATAAATAGCTGATCTATAACGACTTTAATGTCGCTTAATTGCCTATCTAGGACGCCGTGTGATCATGATCTCGTAATATACAACACAACATTTGTATTACATTATTATCCATTGGCTACTATCAATACTAATTATTATTTATTACTGATAAAACGCACTAATATTTCAATGGATAGACTATAATATTTTCCAATGAGTAACGATATGTTTTTCTATAAATGTATGAAATGCTGTAAATAAAAAAATACAAATTAATAATCGGAAGTAATCGATGTACTTAATATACTTATTCCATATTCACTATTCAGCGTATTCCATGCTATGACTTTTCGCTAAGCAACAGAACAGTGTTGTTAATTGTTATAATTCTATTCGATTCTTGGCATTATGGGTATACTGTATTGATATATTTAATGTAAAAGTTGTAATTCTTGAATGATCCAAAATCCCTTATAGTAATAAAATGAATGATCACGTTCCCGAACTAATTAAAAATGAAAGATGGGTGGATGAAAATGTATTACAACTTCAGAGTATTTCGTCTGATAAAATGGAAGACCCAAAACTATGTTTGGAAGACAAAATGGTACGGGAGAAAACCCGCAAAACATTAATGTTAGCTAATATCGAAAAAGAAAAAACTAGATGTTTATTAAGAAGGTTAAGAGAAGAGTTGGAACAAGTTTTAGCCAGAAACAAGTTACTACCAGAACCATTGCAATTTCCTGATGACTATTTTCAATTCGATGAACGAATCATTAGTTCAATTATTAAAGAAGAGCAATTGAAAATGGATGAATTAAAGTTAAGACTGGCATTCGATTATGAAAAAAGCTTGTTAGGTCTTCAAAATGTCAAAAATTATTTCGTCGCTAATATTATAACCAATACGTTTGAAGTTAAATCAATTTTGTACGAAATTTCAGTTATAAGTTTTTTTTTTATTTTATTATTGTTTATACCTATATTTTAAATTTGATAATTACAGGACAGATGTAGGAGTCAAAACAATATACCACGAATTGCAACCTAATAACATATTTATTAGTTTAGTAAATGAATTTATATCTAAGAAACATCCGAAACGACGGTAAGTAAGTTGTTAACAGTACTAAATTGTTATCAATTTTTTTTTTAATCTATTTAAGGATTCTGAACATGTAGCATATTTTTATCCATTGTACACCTTTGAAGTTTAATTGGCTTAGATATTTGATCATCATTTTCTTTATAATAATCAAACGCAAAAAAATAATTGTTTAAGCAACTAATAAATTTACACGCTGCAGCTAAGTCCATAAAAGAAATATTAGTCCCAAACTTTGTAAGGTCTTAATCTATACAATTTTTAATTAACCATGACATTAAAAATAATAAAATAGTCTAAACTATATTGAAATTAACTAGTACTATCTATTATTGTATTTATGTAGAAGACGTGAAATGACAGTTTTAAGCAAACCTACTCCCAATCAAATAGTTGGGATTTCCGAAACAGAACTATTTCTTCGAAATGTGCGTGAAATGTATTCGTCTTTACCAAAGAAAATTCAGTTTGCCATAGATAAGTTTGCAGCAAGAAAAGATTTTGAAAATCGACAAATTCTTAATATTCGAGAAATGTATAAAAATAAGCCAGGTGAAGATAATAATATCGAAGAAGAAGCATTATTAGAATATACTCTTGATTCTATTGGCTATTTGAACTTAAAATCGGGATCAAATTTTAAAATGAATGAAAATACAATTATTAGAATGGAAGATACATTTGAACAGTACATGGAAGTTAAAGATAAGGTTAACTTTCCATTATTTAAAATATTTATAAACCGATTTTTACAATTTATATTCTATAATAGATACACATTATGAAAAAAAAATTTAATGAAAAAGTGTTCAAACTCAGAAAACAAAAAATAAAATTAATACATGAGTACAAGCAATTCAAGTTTGATATTAGTATGATACAAAATGAGTTAAATGATCCAGAAATAATAACGCCATCAGATTTCCCTGAAGTCCTGATGGACGAATCTATTGATGTAAGAAATATACTCCATAAAGCTGTAGTAAATTTTATTGTGCAGTTTTTAAGTTATTACTTTTTATAAAGTCATCTTAGCTATAACCATGATTAGGTTATTAAATAAAAATGCTATAACTGATATATCCTAAGTATCAACATGATTCATGTTTTTCATACTGTTTATCGGTATACAGTTAAATAGTTCCGTCAAAATTAATGGTAGGCAGCCATGTAAGTACACGAGATAAAAGAGCTATACACGAGTTGTGTCCTGAATTTTTAAAAATACTATCGATATTATCTAAAACAGCGGCCTAGATACTGTTAAAAAGATTTCATTATAACCAAAATTGGTACCCCGTTATATACACATTTTATTTATTTTTGAATATAATTTATTAATTAATTTAGACTTACATAATACTATTACTACTGATACTTACCTATTACGTACACATTACTTACCTAGATAATTATAATTTTGAATCTTTTAATATGAATGTATTACCGAAAATTTCCACTAACAATACTAAAACAGTAAAATATGATTACAGATATTCCCATGATGTAAATATTCATTCTAATTTAAAGACGAATGCAAATAGGTATGTAAGTACACCGATAAGATATTTGATGAAAACGTGAGATAACAATTATTATAAGGTCATTATTTCTGGTACAAAAACAACATATGTGCCGATTTTTGAATAGTATTAGCCAGTATTGTCATTACGTCCAATGTCTTTATAACCAGTAATTTTGTAGGTGTATACAAATGTAAGCCGAGACCTCTTTATAATTTTGCCGACATATTGAAATTATTGACGTTTTATCCAATGTGCAGTAACGATCTGTATCGTTTTATAGATGAGCCGATTGTAGTTTTATTTACATTTTTACACAACACGTAATAATTCTTTTTAGTTTTAATTTATATTAGGTAATTTCAAATGAACTACCTATTGAAAAACGATGTATGTCAAAAAAAGTAATTCGGAAAAAAATATTTAAAAAACTCTCTTTACAATGCTATCGGTGATATACTGTGTTTATTTTTAAAGGTATAACTAAATAATTCTCTCCAGTGACATCAGATTTATATGAGGTTTTCGGGAGAAGATAGAGAATACATAAATACACATTTCTTGATGATTTTCACATTTTTAGATATTTTCTTGTGTGCATGCGCAATACAACTTGCATTTTTTTTTAATGGCAACAGGTGTTTTGGATATCAAATTTAGATAGACCGAATTTTTAAGTCAATTTGGTCCTTTTCACCATACCTCTAAAATCAAAATTGACTAAATGATAACGAGTTAAAGTTTCGATTAAAATTATTGAATTTTTCAACAATCGTACTAGAATTTCATGAATTTTTATGAAATTTCAAGTATTTTAATTAATTTAGTTTATTTAATGAATGGTTACAAATAAAATAATCATAGAAATTACAAGTAACTACCCACATATATCATGAAAAATAACAATAAATCTTAAATTTAATAATTGAAATTTAAACTTTAATAATAGAAGTTATCAAAAATAAATCATATCAGTTTGTTTAATCTTTTCTTAGTAAATTAAACAATTACGTTTAATTGATGTTAATTAATTCCTCAAAATTAAATTAAAATGATTTAATAATCTCTTCAAGCCAAGGATACAAAAAAAATACTTGAAATTTCATAAAAATTCATAAAATTCTAGTACGATTGTGGAAAAATTCAATAATTTTAATCGAAACTTCAACTCGTTATGCGCACAAGGAAAGATCTAAAAATGTAAAAATCATCAAGAAATGTGTATTTATGTATTCCCTATCTTCTTCCGAAAACCGCATATTAATCTGATGTCAATGGACAGAATAATTTAGTGCTACCTTTAAAAAGAAATACACTATTATATAACGGTGAAACCGAGTCGTCCAGTGGAAAATGCTCAGTGAGGTGATGAATTTGAAGAGGGAAAAAATTACCCTATTTTGGTCTCAGTGGGTGATTTTGAACTTCTGGACTTAAGTACAATTTACACTTCATGATTATCCGTGATTATCTACCTATTTCATTAAATTTCATTGAATAGAATTTATAAAATAGATTTTCTATTTTAATTTGTTAAATCTTTTGCTTGTCAGTTTTAATGTTTTCTATATTTGAATTATAATTTATAATTTATATCTATAGAACCTATGTTAAATATATATAATAGTTGAACATTTTTATGCAGACCTTTGGGTCCTTTAAATCATAAAGCCCCACAGGACATTTAGGAAAAAAATATATTTTTGAATTGTTAAAATTCTTATATATATATTATTTATATTATAAACTTAATTGATTTGATTGGTTTCTCAAAAATATTTGATTAAACAGTAAATGCTCTTAAATTTAAGTTCGTTATAATATGGACGTTATAGTGCACGTTCTCGCTGGACTTTAGTTTATTCTCAAAAACAAGACGTAGTCATTTCAATAGACAAATTTATCAATACACAACTTGTGTCAACTTCCCTATAATTTACGTCTAGGCACAACTCATGTAACCTGAAAAAATCCAAAGGACACAATTCCACTTATTTGGGACACAGCTCACTTGCAGCGAATTAGTAGAAATACTAATTATTGAGGTGCCTACTGGCTATGCGTAGTCTGTATATTATTGTTGTAACTTATAATTTATAATTATATAATAATAATAATATAATACTAGTTGTCTGAACACTTAAAATATAATGTTTTTTTGTTATACGCATATAGGTACTCATAAAATATACCTAATATATACAATAAAATGGAAATATGTACCTAATTGCTTATTTTTCCTATAATTTTATTTCAGCCTAGATTGATTGATTCGTTTGAACCGACAAATCACTGGGATCTGATGGATTTACTTTATCATCCCGAATTAAGCCCTCTGTATAAGAATGCATATGTTTACGAAGAGCCTACACATCAAGAAATCATTATGCAAAAAATAAGAATTGATAAACTTAAATATAGACATATGCATTTACATGAAACAATGTTAAAGAAAATCAATATGTTTGATGATCATCTGTTGAAGTTGAATAAAATGCGAATAGAAGATAAACTCGAAATTAAATTTCTTGACTTATGGGCCACGACGTTAGAAGAAGAAATGTTAGTTTTGTACGATTTTGATTTACTCGAAGATGAACTTTCGTACAAAGTGCATGTTAAGACAGGAGTACAAAATAATAAAGCTCAACAAGTAACATGTTTTAATAATCTGCTATTATCAATCAATTACCTAAGTATTAGTTTTACAACAATTTTATTACATACTAATAGATACAAAGAATTCAAGATGACATAAAATATTTTAATGATATTCATATGAGAGAAACACATATGCTAATAGATAATCAACATACTTTTGATATGTGTATGAAATTGGAGAATAAAGGTTTTGCTAAACATCTTAAAAAAATTTTCGATAAAAAATTGAAAATACCTAAAATCAAATCCAATGATGATGATGGTAACATAATACAATAATTCATTATTAATTTTTACATTTTTAATAATACAATTTCCTATACTCAGCAGCATTAAATATACCTTTTTCATGCGCTTAAAATATGTGTCGTAGATACTTCATCGTCCTCATCCGACGAAAGTGACGAATCTGAACCAGAATATAATAACGAAAGTGGAGAATCATTAATGGCAATGAGTCGATTACCAACGTTTGATGAAAAAGTATTACCAACAGGCTGTGATCCAAAATTGTTTAATAAAACATTGGAGTTGAGGTCAAAAAAATATGAAATCGAACAAAAGATCGAGGATAATAAAAAAAGATTGGACGCGAGTAGTACAAATCTGAGTTTAACTTTCGTGGAACTTGATGTTATTGAAGATGAATTAAAAGAAATTCAAAAAGAATTAGTATCATGTCAGGTTAGAATTTTACTTTAATAATTATAACTATCGCATTTGAGCTATTTTAGGTCATTAATTGTATATCCATAGATACTCCTGAAAGAATAGGTTATATGGTTATATCGATACTTACCTACGACCTTCGTAGTAAATGTGACACTACTTATTTAAAACAGATAATCACAATTTCACAAATGCCCAAGTGTTCTGTGTTCAGAAAACCAGTAATTATAGTATCAACTATTATAGAAAATCTCAAATCATTACCTATCTATTGGAAATTTCTACTAGGTGCAATATTGATTGGTAATTTAGTCGAAACTTAAAATAACTATAAAAAAAACTGTGTTTTATGTATTTCGTAGATTTTTGGTTACGGCATGAACTATTTAGGTACATTGAACCTTGAATTAAATTTTCAATTTTTAGCTTTAAAAATTGAATATTTTGTACATTTTTAACTACAAAATCATTTGTACATTTTGAATTTAATAAATATCAAAATTTGAACTTGAGTTATTATAAAAAAAAATTGTGTCCATGCATTTTTAATATTTTTCAACTGCTATTACTAACTTAAGAATATTTGCATATTTTCATGATTTTTACAAATTCTCTAAAAATTCTACATTCAAACGCTCATAAAAGGTTACTGTGGATTTATGCAAAACTATTTTTATTTTTTATTGACATTAATTAAAAATTACTTAATAAAAATCAAAAGTTTCATATGCCTATAAATAGCTCAACAGAACAAAATGAGTCAACATATTTTTAAAATTGCATTTTGTTTTCCTAGAAAATGCTAATATAAATAATCAGTGAAATTGTCAAGTAACTACGGTAAATTTTTAGAGTTACGCCAAAAACAAATTTGATTTTGTCAGATTTGCCGTTTTTTATTTGTTTTTCCCGGTGATTTAAAATATTTCCATGAATTTTAAGCGAATATCTTCGCTTCGACTATTAATAATAATAATAATAATAATAATAACACTGACCGATTCAAGTACAATTTTATTTATTCATTTTTACTTTGCCGGGGTAACTAACAAAATAATTTTAAAAAAAATATTGCTCACTAAAGGTTATATAAGTATGGATTCCAAGTTGAAGGTTCTTAAATTAAAATAGTCGCTTAACAGTCTTTATTATTGGATTATGTTTATAAACATTATTTAATGTTAATTTACAGTTATAAAATGTACATATTCATTTTGGCAGGGTCTCCCTTGCCTATGTTTAATAGCGCCAATGAAAATTAGCATGGCAGTCACAGCACTGTATATTTTTGATAATTATTAGCAATATTATTGTATTTAACTATTTATAATTATGTATTGATTTGTATTATTATTTAAACTATAGACAAAAAAACAATTGAAACTAAATGATATTTATACCACGATTGTACTGTATAAATCTCAAATGACCAAAGCTAAATCATTGAAAAGTAGTATCTTATTATATGGAAATGTTATACAAGATCTATCAAATAGAGCGGCTGAATTAAAAAAAGAAGAAAGAGAGATAGTGGCCGTTTTAAAAAAAGAAAAGTTATGTGCCAAAAAGGATCGCATTGAAATAGCCAAAATGGAGCAAGTTTTGAAAAATATTAAAATATCCATTAAAGATGAAATGATAAAAAAATTTAAAACTGAAACGAATTGGATTTTCTTAGACGAAATGGAAATGACTATAATCGATTACATGATTATTAAATCTAAAACTGAAGCTCGAGATTCAAAGGATCGTTTTATTAAAGAATTAAGAATATTAGAAGTACCTATTATATAATAATTAGGATTTAGGAATATACGTATTAGATACTCAGGTATTATTTTAGAAATTGTTTTATTTCAGAATAAAATTACCACCCAACAAATTTCAGTAACTAACTTATTGAAATCAAATACTCGTAGAAATAAGTTGTTAAAAAATGTTCTAGAAAACATTAATACAATACGACAGTATTTGGATGTGGACCAAGAAAGAATTACGGTATTTATAATATTGTTTCTGTTAGATAGGTTTCTACATAAATTTAAGTTATAACTTATCATCCTTATAAAGTGATTCATATATTAATGTATTAATGTGTATATATATATATATATTTATATATTCATACATTCGTTTAAATGTGGAATTTAGGTATAGCTCACATATTTCAGTATCAACATTTTGAATTACCTAATTAAAATAATATCACGTTATGAATCAATCCACAGAACATATTTTAAAAACCAACAATAGTCAATAATAATATGTCTATCTAACTATTCCTTAGAAAATATTTAATTTCTATTTTACAGAAAAAATTTCAAAATTTGGCAATGGAATCAACATTTACTACTGAGATAAGTAACATGAACTGCATATATGATACATTATTACAGAAGAAACAAGACCTTTGTAAACAACTATACATGTATAAATTAAAATGCAAAATGTTAGCTCCTATAATGCAACAATATAGCCCAAAGGCGATACAAAGTCAGGCAATTAAGCAACCAGTTAAACCTGTGACTCGACAAGATGAGAACGAACAACTTGATATAAATTTTATAAAAAAACGGTTTTTTTACTAATTATTTAGTATTTAATAAGAATTATACCTTCCTTGTAAGTATTTGACTTACAAACTAAAAAACTCATAGGTATTAATTATAAAGAACCATAAGAAGGCACATAAATATTTGTATTAAGACTTTGAAACTTGGTTAACATAAAGTGTACGCGGGCTAACTCAAAATTGCATTATATTAAGTGATATCAACCAGTTATGGTTAGGTGATTAATCAAAAACTTAAAAAATGTTTTGGGTGACTGTGTTTTATCTATATTTCGTGTGGGTGTGAGAGAGGAAACAAATATTTTTCTCTGACATACTACAGAATAAGTAATAATGAAGTTAAATACATATTTGTTGCAGCGAATGTAGTAAATGTGGTAGCTATTATTATATACTAGCTATATGAGTAGGAACTTATTAATTTTTTTAATAGTAGTACAAGCAGTATGTTGAACCAAAGCACATAATTACTATATACTAATATGGTAGATGATACAACTTTTTAACAAAATCGAGCATGATATATTATATCATGGGTTATTAATATTATTATTATTATTAATTAGCTTATACTAAGTCAATACAGTGTACCATAGATTAAATACAATACATCTATACAAGTCACTGATCACTGAATAAAAGTCATACAAATAAATCCTTAAGTAATTTTAATGGCACCCCAAAATATTTATTTTTTCATTGTTCTATTTTGCATTTAATGAAAAAAATAATTTTTAAATAATATAGTTACTGACAGTAAAATGTTGAAAGTTTGAAACTTATTTCCATATATAATATTTTGTAACTGGAAAAAGTGTCCCCTTCTTAATGTACTCAATATTTGTGAGCTTACATAAGTAGTTGTGGAAGTTTATTTTCCATAATGAATTTGAACAATGAAAAAATAATAAATTGATGGATGAAGCTAATGCTGCTTGTGTTACATTATAATGTTTAAAACTAACAATATATACAGACTTGTTATTAAAAAAACGTTTCATTTTTTTTTAAACCACGATCACCCAGAGAAAAATTGCAGAAGTAACAATGAACATATAATATATTACTGTGACGTGAAATTGTTATAATGCTTCGATTACAAAATATTGGCACATGGCTCAAAAAAGGTTGATATAAAAATATCATTCAGAGCATTCATCATAAATGTGTATATCTAGTAAAGGTGTAGAAATATCATATAAGAATGGTTTTATATTGACTATAGATGGTATAATTCATTGTGTCTTAACTTGAGCTGGTATAAAACAAACAGTATTTCATATTTAAATAAAATTATGTAAGACTATACACTATTCAGAATGAGATCGTAACTCAGCGGCCGACTGCTTAAATGGGGGAAGCATCTGACCGCTACGGACAAAAACTGGTCGCCGCCGAGGTACGATCTCAATGTGAATAGAGTATACAAGTCTATACTTAATGATTTTTAATTCAAGTCTATCATTAACATTTTTGTACAAGATTATTATAATGTACAGAGAAAATTCACAATTTACCAAACAATTTTGTTTCAAATATATAAATTAAAGTGGCTATAATGACTGAAGTTTATTAGTTCATATCTAAATAAGAATATTCTTATTTAATACATTTAATAGTGTTTTGTTATTAAAATTATTCATACATAACATGTAAATTGCATAGTCTATAAAAATACATAATTATCAATTTCCTAATATAATTTATATATATTTAATACATTTTAACATTTAATAGTGTATAAAAATAAATAAGATACAATATTAATAAATATGTTTAAATACTGATTCCACTACTCAATATTTGTGCTTTGATTGTGAAAGACTTTACATGTTTAATAAAATATAAACACAAAGTTGACCAAGCTATGTGATTTCCAGTCATCAACAAAGAAGTGTTTGTAATAAACCACATGATTACATAAATTATATACACAAATAAAATAATAATATTTTAAAAGGTACAATATATTGATAAATAGATAACATCAGTTCCACAATACCAAAAGACAAAACATAAAAATAGTTAACAATTATAATCAACAATTTAAATTACAGGCGAGTTAAAGGATCTAAAATATTCTTTTCAAAAAAGTTTTAATACTTTTAGACTTTGTTTCGGTTGAATTTTTCATTTTATTGGAATCAAGGACGCTTAAGGTATGTTGTAACGGTCCTGACATTCGTTTATTTCTAACTGACAGTGCAGTTTTTATGAAATCATGTGTTGAACCATTGCATGTAGTAAGATCAGACGAGGAAGCTCTTCGATTTGATTGGGAAAGGCTAGAGGTAGATTTAAGTTTGATGTTACTATCAATACCACCTGCTTCTAGGTTAATTGCATTTGACTTGGATTTCAAAATAAGCTCTTTTCTCTTTTTCCGACGTTTTTTTTCATTTTTTATATTATTTTCTCCGTTGTTATTTCGAATTAATAAATCTTGATGAGTGGTTCCTATTAACAATACAAAAATGTTACAGTTTCGTTAATATGTGTCTTTTCACAATAAAACTAATGTAGTTTTCAAATGAAAATAAAAATACAAAAAACTCTTCTTTAAAAGAAATAAAATTGTCAAAAATGAGGATATTCTAATAGTTGCTGCACCGGGAATGTTTTCAAATTTTCAACATTAAGTCAATTTTAACATTGAATTTGCAAGGTTTTTCCATTCATGCAGTTCCGTATACTTAAAAGATGGCCAAGTTAGAATTTGGTGGACACAGTTTCAAAATTATAGCCTACTGAAGTTCATGATTTTGTCATTTTGTTTATTTTGAGCATAGAGCTCTGACAATACCTTCCATACATTTTTTTTTTTAATACGATTTCTAAAGCTTAATTTTATGGAGCAATCAAATTTTGGCCACCATACTTACTTTTATGCTGTACCAACAAAACTGAAAAATTAAACATTTTTTCATTTAGTCTGAATAAAAAAAAACCTTCCGAGATGTTCATAGGACTTCGAGATTTGCAACAAGACCATTTCTTTGCCCGAAAAATATGCAAAAATAGTATTATTCATAATGTCGATTAAAAAAGTGTTAAATAAAACGTTGTGCGAATGCATGCTTAAAAATTGCAGAATTGGAAACTCCATTAGGATTTAGAATATAAGGGTATTTCAAAATTAAGTGTAATTGACAAATCCTCATTGTTAATAATAAATAAAATAAAATTGTGTTAGGTAAAGTTACAATGTTCCCAATTTATCATCTTACAATAATATTCAACTCTCCAAAAATGCAGAAATAAAAAAAAAGGACTTAAAGGTTAATTGCATTTTTCCTTATGACTCTATCGTTCATAATATTAAAGTCACGACCATGAACATAAGACATGTTCTTACCAGATGAAAATAATGCTTCTTCACTAGGACGTCGATGTTTCTCTTTAATATTTGATATAATATCATTAGTAGACTGTCTACGTGCGCCCAATCCTGTATTAGAATTCTTCCATTCTAGTTCTTGATTTTTCTTTCCAATAATTCCTGTCATTCTAAGAAGTATATATGTTGATATTAATAAACAAATTATTCCAATTTTGAGGGGATTGCTTTCAGGCACAATAACTGAAAACTGCAAACAAAAATATATTTTAACATAAGAATTTGTCTCAATTATAAACATTAATTACAAATATTGAATAGTTTAATAAATTAAAACAAATATGATTAATCACCAAATTTAAATTTTCTGTTTCAGTTTTTAGATAGTTGAGTGAATTTTGTAGAGAAGCCACTTGATCACTAAGAAATTTTATTTCTCCATACATCTTTAAATCTTGTTCCCTTTTCATTCTGTTTTCTTCAGTTAACTCCAAAATAGTACGTTGCATATCATCAACTTGTTTCTTATAACGAGTACTAAGCTCTTGTAAATATTCACCACTGAGAGACATATTTCGTTCTAAATCCTATTTAAAAAAGAACATTTAAATAATTTGAATTCAAAATTATTTTATTTTGTTTTAATTATTATAATTTATCAATTTTAAATGCTTATTGAAGTAAAATATCATATATTACTTTGATACGATTTGCTAGGCGAATGAATAAAGATTGCTTGGTATTTTGAGATTGAACTGAAGGTTGTACAGTATGATGTACTAATGACTCTGCTGCTGTAGGGTTACATTTGTCATTATCATGTTCTTCAACTTCAAAATCTTTGAAAAAACTATCAAATGTATCTGAGGGTGGTTCAACTAGTATTCCTTCATTCGTTATGTTTGTTTCAATATTATTCTGGAGTTCGGAATCTATGGGGTTTTCCACAATATAACTAGTTTCAACTGAAAAATTGTGAAATTAATAATAATAAGTATAATAAATAAGAGCAGATAATAATATACATTGAGTGGAACTTGGAATAGGAACTTCGTTTGTTGAATTCAACTCTGTATTCGAAGATGAAGATAATGTTGCATTTTCATTAATAACTGTAGCAGATTCTTTAACATAATATTTGTTTGATGATTCTGGATCTTCATCGGAACTTAAAAATGTTTTGGTTGGTAATATTTGAGAAACTATAGGTTCAATATAACTAGACAAATACACCGTCGATTTATTATCATTAGTTATGTCCAAATAGGAAGTATCATTTTTTGACTGCTGAAGTTTTGTAATACTATTGTTAGAAGTTAATTCATTTTCATCTGGAATTGATGTTTCCAGATTTATTATCAAATTGTCACTAATGTAAACACGTTTTGCCTTATTTAATACAATTTTTTTGTGGACAATTGCCAAAGTATTACATAGAGCAGCTATTTTAACACGGGGGAAAATCGAAAGAATAAAATTTTTTCTTCTATCACTAATCAAAGAGATTTTCCGTTGTGATTTTTTTTTTATCGTTAAAAAATCTAATCCATATTCTACACACGCATCACTATTCATTATTGTATTGTGGATGTACATATTTTGATACATCTGAGTTAAATGATTTGCTTCGCAACTAATTGTGTCGAACATCCTATTAAAAATAAAATAAATTGTACTCTCATAAGAAACACTGAAAATGTAAAACTTACTGTTTATAAAATGTGTCATTACAACTGTGACAGATCATAATGTATCCCGGAGTAATACATTTTGATAATTGAACTTCTACTGTTACATTATCAATGTTATCATTTAATGTATGATTAGAAAAATGGTTGATATTTTTTTGCCTAATATCTAAAACATCTGCAGCTATTTTAACAATTGACATCACTGCAACACGAGCACTGTCGAGCAATGTATTTTTACTATCCATTGATTTATTTTGGTTATTTTGGATTTCCTCATTCAACGCATCAAAATCATCAGCATCTTCATTTTCTGCAATGTTAATTTCCAATCCATTTTCATCTGATCGTTCCAACACCTAAAATTAAAATTACAAATGTATTATTTATTACACTTTTAAAAACATTTATTTGTCATACTTCAATTTCTGATAATCCATATGCATTGAATACTGATATTGGACAATAATGTTCTTTTCCATAGTGTGAATTTATCTCAACTTTAATGTATTTGTTGAATTCATTTTCATCTGTTGTATTTAAAATAAATCCTTGCAATATTCTCACATCTTCTGCCACTAAATTAGCGATTGGTGTCCATACGCGTGCATTCAGTCGAGAAGCAACATACACTGAAAACTCTTTTGGTGTAGACGAAAACAGTTCAAAGTTTGCTAGCTCAATCTTAAAATAAAATAATATTAGATTTTTACAAAATAGTGATAATAATGATATTATATTTTGTAGATAAATAATTTTTTCATACTTTTTTTACTTGGATTGCTTCACACAATTCAACAACAAACCAAGTAGTACTTTTACATAAATTTAATAAATATTCATCAGAAGGTTTTGTTAGTAATAAGTGTGGATATTTTGCTTCAGGATTTGTAGATACTACTTTGGCACCACATTCTGGTGATGCATAATTTTTTTTTAATACTTTCTTATTGTGGTTATATTTAGTTTCATTAGTAGCTGTAAATAATAATTAATAATGATGCTTAAGTTCAGTTGATGCCTTACAAATTATTTATTTTTTCATACCTGGTTGTTTTTCAGCTTCTTCTAATTGTTTTTTAGTCCATTCTCTAAAAGATGGAATATCTTCATTTATGGTAGCATTGCGGACTGCTGTACTTACATCAACAGACTGAAATTTACTTTCTTTGAATTCATCATCATCTATCATATGAGTCTTAATGGTAATATAATCTTCGGCCGAATTATCTTTGGTTATAAATTCTGAACTTGAGTTAAGATTATTTGTCATTAGATTATCTTCTATTTCAGAAACTATTCTATAAAAAAATATAAACAATTTTTAGCAAAATAAAATTAAGACTACCTAAAAAAAAATATAATTACCTTTTATCAGTATCAATATTTGGTTGTATTTCAGGAAAAATAATCTCTTTATTACAGGTATCCATAACATTTAAAATACTTTTCCACCTATGCTTATAATTGAATGTCTTCTGAGTAGCGCTTTTGTCAGTATTCTGAAAAAAAAAATATACATTTTATTTTACTTTGATGAATATGAATTTGGTTAAGCTAATTCTTGTCTAACTAATAATGTAATAAATTAAAATGAAGGTTTTTGATAATTTAACTAAAAATATTTGAAAATTCTTACTTTGTGTATTAATATAGTTGAAGTATTATCATATTTCAATGAATTATACACACTTTCAGAAATATTTTCATTTTCTGCAATTATGGTTGGCCTAAAAATATTAAAACTGATGTAAGATGTTTTGTTTTAAAAAATGCAATTAATTTAAATTTAATAAATAGTCAATTATTCATTAAGTGTACCTATATAATTTAGGTGCATGATAGAAATAACTATACTCAATCCAAAATAAGAACGGTAATCAGCAGTAACCAGTTTTCTTAGGAAAGCATTCAGGCAACACCTGTTTGTCAGCCTCACTAAGTTAAATATCTATGTATACTTCGCGCTACGAGATAAGGTATTTGTTTCGCACATGTAGACTGACGGCAGTGAGCGTTACTAGACTCTGTTTCCCCCACTTTGTCCCTTAAATACATGGGGAATGGGTGAATTCGAATGCAATTTGATCGGGACACGGGTTACTTTTTTCGTAAAGCGGAGTATAGTAATGCCACATCCCTGAGTTCAAGTTGGCAGCCGTTTGACTATCGTTCTTATTTGAGATAGCACATAGGAATGTCAGCAAAATATTATTAATGTCATAATTTCTGTACATCTTATAAGAATTTATTTCTCTATGGTGTTTGCTAATATATTTATGTATTTAGTCATATCCAGAAGTGACTTTAGGGCAGCAAAATGCCCCCAAATTTTCTATAAGTAAAGAAAGAAAAAATAAGGATATTGTACAATTTAGTGTGTTGTATGTTTTTTTACTATAGTAATTCATATACAATATTATACCAATAATACAAAACATTTTTATACATTTTTATTGTATGTATGGTTTTTGAAAAATGATTTTCTTGATTTTTTATTTAATTTGAATTTGGTTATTTTCTGATCTTCATAACTGATGACGCTGTTGGGTAGCTGTGCATAGTTTAAAATGGTGATATGTGTGAGCAGACAACGTATGATTATATGAGAGTAGCACTAATGTATTATTTTTTAAATCTTTATTTGATACAAATGTTTGTTACTTGGTATTTGTTTTTCACATTCATTAAACATTTTGTATCCTTGGTTTAGCCCACAAGTAAAAGCTAACTGTATTTATATGATTTCTTTTTATAGTTTTTGCTATACATTTTAAATGTTTAAACAATACAACAACAAAATAAGGTTTTTTTTACAATATTTTTTAATAGCACCAGTAATAATATAAAAGGTAAAATGAATAGAGATAAATGTCGTCTTCATCTACCAATTTAAGTTATAGGTGATATTTAAACTGTTTCTTGTGATATTATCATTGTGTGATTAAAAAATATTTAGTCCACAAACTTTCAATGTAAGTTATTAATACCTATGTTAAATGTTTGGTTGGTAATTTGAGTTTAAGAAATTGAGATTACTGAACAGTTATCTAGTCATATGCTATTAACACAGGTTTGTTATGTAGGAAAATAGGAAATAGTTTCCAATTATTACCTATAATGAAGTGGGTACTTAATAAGAATAATAAGACCACTGTGGTTATCTATATTCTATGTCACTATAATTCTGAAGCTTTTGAATATTATAGATATACCTAATATAGATATGTTTACATCTTATGACTAATAACTAGAGCTGTTTTTCATAGAAATTTTCAGCAATATTGAAAATTGTCAACACTGAAAAGTTTTTTCAATTTTTCAATTTTTTTTTTCTACAGGAGTTAGAAGTACATGAATACCAGTAGTCATGTTTTCAACTTCGGAGTACTTAACAATAGTGTTAAAAACTTGTAATATTAAGTATTTTATAGAAATAGTAATTAATTATGATAATGATAATATTCTGACTATATTGTTGGCAAGTGTTTTATATTTAACTAACAAATGGTCTATAACTTTTAAAAAATAAACAATTACAAAATCCATATGAAAAAATGTTTATGAAAATGTGCAGCTCTACAGTAATGACTTTTTATACAGTATACCATAGTTATTCCAGGTTGTGTGTAGTATGTGATTCAGTGGTTTTCACTAAATCATACTTAGTAATTGTTACATCATGATACACGCGATGATGTGTTAATTGACCCAGAAACTTTGTTACTTTACCGGACACATTTTTTTTTTACTTATATAGTTAATTACACTATTGATTTTAAAATATACAGATAAGCCATCCAGATAAGCAGATTATATTGTTAATATTAGAAGCTACTAATTGCTGTATCCGTTTACATTACACTTAACACAAATAATAATTAAAAATCAATGATCAAACTGAAAACCGGGCTGAAAACAATAGTGAAATCAGAATTTAGCGGTCAGACTTGGTTTCAAAGTTATGGATTCATGGAGTTCCTCGATTTTGCGATTTTTACACATTCGAGCATCATTTTTGTTTATCACACCTATAACAAATATTTGTTTTGTTTTGAAAAGTATGTACTTCAACGAGTTAAGGACCTTACTTCTAACTATCTTCATGCTATACAAAGTTGTTTTAACTATTTTGGGGTAGACAACATGTCTGGTCATAGAACTCAAGGTCCTACGGACTTCTAGTAAACTTTGAAGTTACAGTGTGAAAAGTATACTAACTAAAAGGTTATCATGTTTTGAGTGAAACCTTGTTAAAGATAGTATTATCATAATAGTACCATTATTTTACACCTCTACCTTGACCGTGTGAGAAACGCAAATAAAAAAATAAATGATGTAAAACAGAGTACTGTAGTGACAAACAGCTCATATTATTCATATTTATTTATAGTTGATGAACTATTTTATGATGAGTTATGACAATATGACTAATGAACTTATATAATATGTTCAAAACCTATACTACAGTAAATATTGATCGTTTACTCAGGTAAGAGCGAATATAATTATTAATTGAACAATAGAACGCCAGGCAACATAAGCTTAACGTCAAACTTTCAATAGTCATAACTTCAAAGCAATGTACGGCTGCCAAATTCTAACTTCACTATCATTTTCAATATAACTGATTGCATCGGTTTAAAATAAATAAGGTGTCTGACAAAGTAAATGGATAGCTTGAACTAATATAATACAATAATAATTAGAAGTTACAGTATTTCATACAATTTGTGCGAATAGCACTTTTTTAGAATAACCTTTGACTAGAAAATGTTCCAAAATGTCTGTTATAAAGTTACTAAATATTGAATTTTATTATCAGTTCAAAGCATACAGAATGAGATTTTATCAGCATTCTTATAATATAATATATTCCTGATTGGAATAATCTCAGAATATGAAATTTAAGAAATGGTTTAATTTCAGAGCATAGGATAGACGTAACATCAATGCTACCAAGACTCCAAACAATAATATAAGTCGAAGTGTATACTGTATAACTTGCCTAGTGGTTAATGTATGCATATGTCATATTCACTCAGTGTAATCCGAGGTGTAATCATATTTTTCATGAAATGGAAACTCTTATTTTACCTAGGTACCTAATATTTTTAATTGATTACAACATATGGATGATTAATATTCGTGATCACAATAACATGGTCTTATCTTAATATACAAGCTTTTTTTTTAATATATAATTTTTTTGTATTACCTGGTACAAAATTTATTTTTCAAGGTAAATGTTATAAAATTATAATAGTTGTAGGTATTGCAATAGTACTAAATACTAAAATAATTACATTGTGTACCTAGCAAAAGTATTAAGGATTTTCACATCAATATATGATAGGGTTGCCATACGTCCAAGTACACCGGGACATGTCACCAGTTCATGACTTCGGTCCCGGTCGTCCTACTAGACCCTACAAAAGTCCCGGTTATGTGTAAATAATTATATTAAATTGTACACGTTGTCACAAATTTATTTCTTGTTTTTATATTGTCAAACATTTTTATTTGAGAAACAAATCAAAAAAATAGAAAAATCTGAAATTACCATTATAGAAGTCAAAAAGATTATAAACGATTTAGAACAAACACTTTCAGAACGAGCCGAAGCTAACTTTTTGGGAATCAAAACTAAAATTGAATATAATAAAATAAAAGACGATGCTCATATTTTTGTTTCGATAAAATTATTCAACGAAGAAGTCGATAATTATTATTAAACGGCACGGGAGTATTTACAACAGTGGAGTAACCCTCTTATAAAATTTGAGGTCTTTTCATGGATGGATCTTACTTCTTCGCTGCAATGGCAAGAAGTTGAAAAGACAACAATAACTTATTTAAAAGAAAAAGGAATTGATATCACGGATAGTTGCTTTGAAGAAATATTGTATCTTAAAAACTTCATTGACGGAAATTTTATGAAGATTGGAATAAAAAAAAATATGCATGACTATATTATAGGAGATAGTGTAATCGTCAAATTGTGTACCTATGTTAATGGGTCATAAATAAAAAATGTCTAGACCTTATAACGCGACACAACGATACTATTTGTTATTATTTATCTGGACTCACATTAAAACATTGATGACGATTAACAGACACGCGTGTCTGACACCGAAGCGATCACGCTTGATTCGCATGGTAATTTGTGCATAAAGTCGGAAGCCGGCAGCAGACGAAAACAAATCGCAATTTTCAGCGGAGTTCCAGGCGCCGACGTCGTCCGGCGTCCCGATTCTCCGATGCGGTCAGCTGGTAAGGTTGTACGAACGAATCCAGGCAACACATAGCAGTCGAAACAGAGCAGATTACGGAAACGGACTATTCGACACGGAACAATAGCATTAAAACACCGTTTACCACCGCATAAGGACGGAGAATAAATTACAAAATAAAACGTAATGTCGCGTACTCGCGTTTGAAAACCGAAATCGTTCTTATCGTCATGTTGTGTTATCTCGCAATACGTTTCGGTTGATAAGAAGCTGATGTGTCGTCTGGCGAGCGATACCGCACTGCTTACAGAATAGACGTCTATGCGTTCGTACGGGTATAGTATACTGTATGTCTGTATACAATATAGTAGTCCGTAGTCGCAGTAGCCTCGTAGGGCAATGGTTCGATTGTTCGATACCATTTTAATGTAAATAATAAGTACTAACTGCGGTGTAGGCAATTAAAATATAATTATAAAGATATTAAATTATGTCTACGAATACGAATAAACCCAGGACCCATAATTATTTTTTAATGAGTAGGCCGGAATCATATGCAAACGCATACAACAATTATTCAAGGCAAGAATTTGATGATATCGGTAAATAATATTATTAACAGTTAAAAATCGAGCGTTCAAGAAGTTACACCATAGAAATGGACTGATAATCTTATCCCCTGGTCATTATTGCGAAAAAGACTATTGTGACGTACTGACGGCAGAGTGCGACATACTATCGACACGTACATAGGTCGCAGAGTAATAAATAACTTACTGTTCACCATGATTGTAGATGATAAATCTAATGCTGTAGGCAGTAGGCTATCCGACTGCGTAACTGCGTAAGCAGCCGGACGGTTGCGATACACATGCGTAAATGGCGCGTCTCATACATAGACTCGTGTCTCTTTTGACGTGCATCAAATTGTTTACACGTGTAAAATGGGCATGTGCGTAATCCATATAGCATAGTGTATGATGATGATTAATGATCATTATATGTTCTAAGGTGTGGCTACATGAGCGATGAGCCTATAGATATATCGGACTCTTGTCTCTTAAGTCTTGATAGTTGTTGATGCCAGTCTGTACTCTGTACTATTGAGTGGCTACACAACGTAACTATCTACTTCCTAAATCCTAGTACGAACTAGAGATGTGTAATTAAAGGAGGGATAATGGCGATAGTCTCCCCTGAGAGTTTTTAGATTCTGAGTGGAGCCATGAATGCATGAATGTTGTGTTTTTTTGTCATTTATTAAAAAAAAATTCACCCCCCCCCCCAACGAGGAAAGGTTATAGGTAAAAATTTAGGGAAAAACTGATATTTTCTCGTAAGGCAAGTTCATTACCAAATTGATTTTGTTTTTATGTAGTAAATCAAAAACAAATAATCATAGTTGGGTATACATTAAATTTTCTTCAAATGTTTTTAATTTTTATGACCATTTTCCAAGTTAAATTATAATAAAAAAAATATGTAATGTATAATTATAATATTACATAATATATAATTATTAATATATTATAATATTATAATATTATTAGATTATATTTATAATATTTACTATTTTCAAAATATTTCGACTCTCCTTGAGTTATTTATGAACACTTCACACTTGAAATAATCAAATTTCTTTTTCTATAAATGTCAATAAAAATTTTTTCACTCCGTAAGTTTGAAATGTAATACAAGGTCCCTGATAACTTGTTCATATACCAACTAAAAAATATCAAAAATATTTTTTTTTCACTAAATCAAAATTAGAATTTTGACAAAATTTATCAAAATCGCATACATTTTCTAGAATAAAATTTTAAGTTAAAAATGCATAAAAACTTTGAAACTTAAATTTTTAAATTTTAATACAAGACTTCTAATAAGTTTTTCTACTTTTTACAAAAAAAAAAAAATTGTGAGCGTTTGAGGCTTAACATTTTACGACATTTGAGTTTTTCAACTATTTTTCATCGATCGATGCTCTTATTTTGTCTTAATTTAGAAATAAATATGACGAAAATACAACACATGCGGGTAAAACGTACTATTAAATTTTAAAATAATAGATGCTTATTATTTGACTTTAACCCAATATCGATAAATAAATTTAGACCATTATAACTAAATAGTTTATACAATTATTGTATCTGAAGAGTTGTATCAGAAAATTGCCATAATTTGATTTTAATATACTGTTATTCAAAAAAAAAAAATATATATTCATTAAATTACTTTTGATTAATACAAAATTTTTATTTTTTATTTTTTTTTACTGAACACTTGTATCAACAATAAAATAATACTATTTAAGTAATACAATAGGGTCTCGTTAATCCAAACGACGTTGGGGAAAGGAATCTATTCAGTATCCATGAACAAAATAATGTTTTCTACATCATGTGATATATACACACTTGTCCAAAGGGTAGGGGGGAGGGGTGTTTAGGGCTTATATCTTCCTTTGTCCCATAAATCTGTTTATTTGTACCTTAGGTAGGTACTACCACAAAAATTCATTCATATTATGTATTACACATTACAAGGGTTTGGATTTTATAGCATATTATACTTTTAAGATACTTAAAAGGTATCAGAGTTGGTAAGCGTATACATTTGTTGCACTTATTTTATTTATTATTTTCTCCTTAATAGCAATTAAGAAATTGTAATTGTAACGTTTAGGTAATTATAATATAATTTATAACTTCATAAGTATTTCAATTATGTTGATATACTCGTAGTATGTATCTATTAATATATTGTCTGTATATATTCATCATTAAAAACCGTAATAAGGCATACATAATGTAAAAAAATAAAAGTAAAAATAATTAGACACCATGATAGACTTTTAAATACTACAAATTCCTCAAATATGTTTTCTTAGTTATGTCAAATATTAATATTGTCCAGTGTCAAGAGCGGCTCTTCGAACATCACAGGATTATCGAAACGCCTGATAACGATTTCAACACTCACCTAATTTTTAAAGTTCAATTTAAAATTTTTAAAGACGTTTGAACATATCTATAAACGAAGTATTGCATAGGTTTTATCAATATCGAACATTACTATTATTTTCTATCAAAACCGCAAATTTAAAAAAATATATTTACTCTCGTATATGAGATTTGATAAAAATAAAAAAATGTTTCAGAGATCGATGCAAAGTTAAGTTCGATTACGAGTTTCAAATATAATTTGATTTTTAAGAACAATAACAAAACACTGTCAGTATCTGAATTATTTTTTCTGGCTTGAAGGCGTATAGTTTGTATACACTTTACACAAATGGCTAGGTTTTTAATGTTACATGTTACATCTAAAACTAAAAGCAACTTTTGGGTGCGTTTGTAGTTTTGTACTCTATATATATCGAGCCTGAGGTTACCGGTGTAACACTAAAGAAAATTTAATACAAACACGAAGGACAAGGCGTGTACCATAATAATATATAATAACAATTATAATTATAGTTATATATATAATATATATATTAAAGACCCATTCAAAAGATGAAGGGATACACTTTGCAATATTCCTAACCTATATGACCAATGTGGCAGGAAAACAATACCCCAGGATATTCATACCCCCCAAAACTTTATACCGGGGGTACAAATATCTTAGGATAATTATACCTCCATGGGGATATGAAAAACCTAATTGTATACTTGGGGTACTATTATAACCTAGGAATCTTATACCTCCCCCCCCCTACAAATTATACATATTATATATTTGTATATAGAAATATTATTCAATTTGACACTATTATAATAATTAAATATTGATTAATATAATAATTTCAATTTTTCGGCAAGGAGAGATAGCCCCTTTTCTAAGAGGCTATCTCACTGGAGGTACAACCCCAAACATGTTCATGTATAATATATATGTTAAAGTAATTCATTGTTGTCATAGCAGTATAGCACTGTCACTTACTTATAATATTATCTTATTGTACTACCCATAATGTATTGTATTTATAAAGACTTTCGGTCTTTTAAATAAAGATGCCATAGGTAGTTAAAAAAAAAAAAATCAACCCACCGTAATATTGAAATATTAAAATAAGTTACTTTAATACCGATATCAAAAATATATCTTGAAATATTCTTGATATAGATTATAGACTGATAGATCATTTTTGCTTAAAATCATTTTTCGTATTTTATAATACATGGAATTAAAATTTAAAATCCATTACCGCGACCCGATCGACACCAAATTGGGTACAACAGAACTGGCACCTATTTATAAACATATTTTCTTTGATTAGTAAATTCGTAAATTATGTATTTTTAACTAATAAAATTAATTACTTTTAAAGACAATATCAATGAATACATTTTTACAGTAGATAATTTTACCTCTTTTAAGGGTACCTATTATCTTATTGTTTTTTGTTTTTATGCTCCGTGGATTACAAATTATAATACTATGTCATAGTATTAAAAACATATAGTTGAGGTTAAATATACCAGCTAATGGCAAAGAATGTTTACAAATAAATAAATTAAGGTCAATTAAAAAAAAAAATTATGATAATATATAAAAATAATAATAATAATAATAATAATTTGTAACATTTTAAAAGTTCTATGATAAAAACGTAGGAAAGTGGATATCACTTTGCTGTAAATTATAGGTGTCTAGAGAGTCGCTGTAATGGATGGTATTAAATTTAAATTCAGTGATATAATATCATTGTAAATAAAAAGCAATTTTGAGCGGAGATGGTATATCAGTCTAGAACATTTTATTTTGTTATTACTTATTATTAATACGGTAGAGGGCACATTTAATTAATATTATTCATAATATTGATCTTAAATTATCAGAGATGCTGAAAAAATACTATAAATATGTATGTAAAATTAGTAACCGAACTACAATAAAATGACTAAGATTGTTATTTTTTATGTTAATATGCGATTTCGGGTAAATTTGAACTTAAAATAGCTATAAAAAAAGATGTGTATGTATTTTTAGGTTAGGTACAGATATTTTTAAATTGATATTGTAACATAATATCAGGGTCTTGTTTTAAATTTTCAAGCATTTTGGACCCAACCAATACAATTTTATTGAAATTTATAAAAACAAAGAAACAAAAAAAAAATGAAAATTGCAAATATCCTTCGACAGCATAAAACATGTAAAAAAAATTTTGAAAATTTTATCAAGTATATGAACTGATGAAATTAACATATTGTGTGCATTTCTAATGTCTACAGTAATTCATTTTTTAATTACAATAAAATAAAAAAATCACTATAAGAAAAATCGAATGAATATTCATTTTCAAACGCTCATAAAAATTTGATTTGACTTTTCGGTAGAAATTTTTTTTTTTATTAAGGTAGACAAACCAATAAGAAATCTTGTATTACATTTTTAAATCTTGGATAAGAAAAAAAAATATGTAAATGAATTTCTAACCTAAGATAAATTGAGTCTTACGTATTTTATTAAAATTTGAAATTCAGGCGCTCATAAAACATTATTGTGAAGAATAATCGAAAATTTCAAATGCCTTTAAATAATTGAACATAAGTCAAAATATTTTGAAGATTTTATGGTTTATAGAAAATACTAACACAAACATTCAATGAACATTTTATGTATCTATAGCCGTTTTTTTAGAGTTACACTAAATAACAAAATAGATATTTTCGAAAACTGGTTTTGCGTACAAATTCCATTTTCCCTTAATATTTTGTTTGGTTGCCTGTCGCTTTTGAAAACTATTGAGAATTTTATATTTTGACTTCCTCAATGCATCAGCTAGATTCACTTTCCTACCAGAAAAGTTGCTGTTGAAGAAAATCGAAGCACTTTTAGTGCCCCAAGCCGTAAGACACAAAAACAAAAAATAAAAAATAAATTAACAAAAAAACACACAACATTGTAAAATCAATACATTCATCTCTCCACTCAGAATCTAAAATTATGAGTAAAAATAGTTGATTTTTCATGTAGGACGTAGGTACAATAAAATCAGAGATCAACTAAAATGTACTATTTAGTAACCTAACTAGCACAGTCCTTCCCATGTTATAATCTATTGATAACCTGAATCAATTTTTTATTCTTCTCTTTCTTTTTAATTGCTCAGTAAATCGAATAAACTATTATAATATACGTATTACGCACGGTATGTTTAACTTAAATTATTAATATTATTGTTTAACGAAATAAACGATTCTTATAAAGGAGACAAACATTTGATATTTCGAACGTTATGACCAAAGAATACCATATACATGTGTTTCTGATATATTTTAATACTGATATGATTGATATAAACAATCTTTTATTGGTATTCGGAATAAAAATCTCCGGGAAAAAAAGCCCAGTAAAAAAATTAAATATAAATTTGAATACATATTATATTCTTTACTCCTAATTATAGTTACCTATTACCTTGTGGCGTCTACCTATAACCAAATATAATATTTAAAATAAAAAAAAATTTTTACTATTACAAGCTGTTTTTTTATATGTAATTAATAGTTAAGCATAAGCCATATTCACTATTCGATATGAAATTATTTATATTTGAAATTTTTCATTGAATAAATGGGTAGAAAAAATACTTCTTATTAATTGAGTATCCGCATATAAAATTGTCTAAATTGGCTATTATAATAATTTATGAATTATTAATTACTAATTAGGTGTAGATTATAGGCAAATGTGTTCACATTTATGTTTAAAGAAGCAGCATAAATGTAACGCGTAAACTTCTGCTGCATAGAGTAGTACAGGGATGCACTTTGAGTGTAATGACTAATGAGCATTAATTTGGGTCCTGTGGGCAATGATACATGATGCATTTGTTGAATACAATTAATTAAATCCCAGCTAGTTCTAATATTAAATAATGAAGTGTATTTTTTTATGGTGCAGAGATAATCGTGAATATGTTGCCAAACGTTTGCAGCATAGATAAAATAAATGCGTGGTGTAATTATAGATGGGCGGAAAAAAAGCTGAGAAAAAATATTAAATATAAATATGAACACATGTACTTGTCTTATACTGAACTCCTAATAAGTTATTAATAATTTATAAATTACTATAGCCAATTTAGACAATTTTGTATGCGGATACTCAATCAGTAAGAAACATTTTTGCGATCTATTTATTCAATGAATATTTTCAAATGTAAATAATTTTATATCTGAATATGACTTATGCTTAACTATTGATTTTATATAAAAAACAACTTGTAATAGTTAAAAACAATTAAATATAAATATGAACTCATCTATACATAATATACAGTGTTCTAAGTTATAAGTAAAAAAACATCAGGGGTCATAACATCTTATGTTTATAATGTTTATATACATATTATAGTAAATAATAATTTTAATGCATTCTATTTCGTTATACGCCACACGGTAATTACTAATTACTAATAATTAGGAGTGGAGAATACATGTAAACATTTTTTGTTTTTTTTTAAATATGCAAATCGAATCATAAACATGCTTTTTAGATATAACAATAATTGAATAATAATTATATTTAATAACAAGTAATCTATATTTCTATTTGTTATGATAATACATATTTTGTATTTTCGACATTGTCGTCCCATTTTTAATTCTTCAAAAAATTAAACGTTAAAACTATTGATTTAAATATTATCATTGGCACAATTTTCCTAGGATTTTAGTACCTCCCAGTTTAAAATTCTGAATATATTGTACTGTGGGTATGAATTTACTAGAAATATATTACCGGGTATTAAATTTATAAAGATATCCTAGGATTACCATACCGAAGGTATAGAAAGCCTAGGATATCCGTACCCCCTGGTAAGAAATTTTGGGAGGTATAAATATCCTAGGAAAATTAAACCAGGGGTATAAATTTCCTAGGTTTTTCATACCCCCGTGGAAGTATTATTATCCTAGAATATTTGTATCCCCGGTATATAATTATAGAGAGGTATTAATATCCTGGGAAATTTGTACCGGGAGTACTATTAACCTAGGGAAATCGTACCAACGGGGTATAAATATCTGGGTGTATGATTCGCCTGTTACACTGGGATAGCAGTAGATCACGTTGACGAATGAAGCGGCACATATATAGGTACACGTGATAATATGTTGTATGGTGTATTTTTTCGGGACAAACTATACACACGTAGTATACTATGGTCGCGGTCATCGTCACCTCCACCGTCGATGGGTCGGTGACATCAGGATATCGCTAACTCAACCGGTCGGACTGGCGGCGCCGTCGAGACGAGTAACGGAGTAAACAGACGTGTGTGCACGCGCTGAGTGGGGGACTGAGAGCGACACTCCTCTGGTTTGTCCTTCACCACCCCACCATGCCCCGCCACTAAATTACTGATTTCCGATACTAATACATAATACAAAATTCGGTGTCTCGTTGTCACACACCCTTCTATCAAAATTACCGAGGAAAAAAGCCCTTGAGGCCGAATTCCAATTTCAAAAATCCGTCGATATAGGACTCACATATAAAATACTATGTACACACTTGTACATTATTATAGAACCACAAAAAACGTCTCGACGCATTCCTAGTCCAATGCGTTGGTATGGGAGATGGGGGTTTCCGTTTTCCGCCAAAATGACCCTCGCTCGTTATCACCATGGCCGTTTTCCGCCAAAGGTTATATTCCGATTTCCGCCAAAAAAATTTACAAATTATTTTTGAGAACCCCTGAACTGAAACCATCAAATAGTGACGATTACGATGTAGGTACGTGCTATTATTATATATTTTATATAATTTTAATTTTTATAACAATGTATTATTTGGACGACAAACTAGTATGACGTTTATAATCATAACAATTAATACTTATGCTGTTTTTAAGTACAATTATAATAGCGTATGCGTTGGGAAACACACTGGGTAGTGGGTACACTATATATAGGGGAATAGTAATGGTAAGATAATATATAGATAAAAGTTTATGATCTATAAACTGAGGTGAGGTGCGTGTGTGATACAAGGTGATGCGCGTACATCGTGATCATTACTATTTGACGGTTTCAGTTCAAGGGGTTAGGTTTCAGGGGTTCAAAAATAATTTTTTTTTTGGCGGAAATCGAAATATAACCTTTGGCGGAAAGTGGCCACGGTGATAACGGGCGAGGGTCATTTTGGCGGAAAACAGTTACGCCCTGGGAGATTGTAAATTCCGCCCGAAATGAACAGGTAAAAACAAGGTCTATGGTAAATTCCGCCCGGAAAAATATCCAAGTAAAAAAGGTACATGTAAATTCAGCCTGAAAAAATATACAGGTACAAAAATAGTTCCGCCCGGAAAAATAAATATTTTTAAACTAAGCGTTCCGTGACTGTACGACGCGACCGTACTTTTCGCGACGCGGCGAGTGTTATAGCTTATAGTATTGGGAAGTCACAAAATGTTTGAACAATAGTATCTCAAACGATATCATGAATCATGTCATATCTTATCAGCTTTGACTGCAATATTGTGGATCTAATAATTATTGGAAATTTCAGATAGAAATATTATAAATTGTGTTCAGTACACCGTACACGTCCTAAAGTCTTATACTCTTATACCTAGTACCTACGCTATAATGGCTCAATTTATCGAATCAGAACTTGGAAATATACTTTTAGTATTAGACAATTTTAAATTTTCTAAAGTAAATAGACCTTTGGCTTCTGGATTAACAAAATGGCGATGTATAATCAAAACTTGCAAAGCTTTTGTGAAAACCTTTGGTGAAACTACGAACATTGCTGAACAAAATTTTGATCATGATAAACATAGGGCAAATAGGCAAGTACAATATTATACATAATATACAACTAAATTAAATAATATATTTTAAAATTATTAATTTTTTAAAACCTGAAATTATAATTGTGTTTTTAGTGATCAAAATATACAACGGCAAATTGTGTCAGTATCAGCAAAACGTAAAGCTGTTGAAGATAGTAATGAGAAACCTAGTAAAATAGTGTGTACTGCCATTAAAAGCATTCCTCGATCTGAAGCATTGCAAGTAAGTGACTTGCATAATATCAAGCGAAATATTTACAATGCTAAGCAAAAGAAATTCCCTCCTTTGCCAAAATCGGGGGAAGAAGTTCAAGATATGCTGGATGATATACAGGTGGTAACCAATCGCGATAAAAATTTTATTCTTAGTAATGACAAAGTAAATGGTATTATAATTTTTGTGTGCAAAACAAATCTAAAAATGTTATCAACAGCAGAATGGGTTTACATGGATGGTACATTTGAATATAGTTCTAAATTTTTTTTGCTACTATTTACTATACATGGCTATTTTAATGGTCATTATATACCTTTAGTTTTTTTTTTATTAAAAGCAAAAACTCAAAATATTTATTTGCAATGTTTTAAATTAATAGTTAATCTTTGTATTCATGATAATTACTTATTTGAGCCAAAGTATGTGGTTATTGACTTCGAAAAAGCTATACACAACGCATGCAAATCGATCTGGTCGAATATTCAAATTTATGGTTGTCGTTTTCATTTATTTCAATCGTGGTATAGGTATGTTCAAACAATAGGATTAAGTGTAGAATATAAAACCGAAGACTCGACTATTAGAAATTGGATAATTAAATGTTATGGAATAGTTTTTTTAGAGCCCGAGATGGTTTTTGATTACTTTGAAGTATTTTTAATGAGTTCTAAGCCAAATGATCATAGATTAGCACAATTTTCTGATTATTTATTAAATAATTATATAAGTAATGACGCTGCTTTTCCTCCAAATATATGGTCTGCTGCTACAGCAGATTTGAACAGAACAACTAATGTTTGTGAGTCGTTTCATTCCAAATTTAATAAAAGTTTTAATTCTAATCATCCTCATATTTTTATATTTTTAGACAAACTTAAGCAAATTCAATTAGAAAATTACATTAAAAAAATAGTTTAAATGAACCACATAAATATAGAAATTCAAAATCAAAAAAAAAAAATATATACATGTAAAATATAATTAGAAAATATAAAAATAATGAAATATCTATAGATGATTATGTAGAAAACGTGGCTCATTATTTTGGGGATTTTAACAAAAAAAAAAAAAATAGTATGGAAGTGATATTTTGACTCGTATTTGTTATTATAATTATTACTATTTTAACAATTTTTAACAATTTTATATGCTATTTTATATACACGATTTATAATAATATGTGCTAATTATTGATGATGATTTTATTTTGACTCGTATTTATTATTATTATTTTTACTATTTTACGATTTTTAATACTTTTATATATATTGTGCTAATTATTGATTATGATTTAATTTTACTATAGTATTATGATTGTTATATTTACTTTTATAATTATTACTATTCTTACGATTATATATGATTTATGTTGTAATTATTGACTTAATATGTGAAATATATATTTATTTAAATACCCACTTCTTAGTTATAATGTTTAATCTATGTTATGTCAGTAATAATATGATTAATATAAGACACATTCAGAAATTTGTTTATTAACAGTAATACATTTTTTCGGGGAGTTTCCCGAGTGCGTCCCTAAATGACCTTTTTTTAATGTTCCTATTGCGTCCATAATAAGGTATCTTCCGAGTGCGTCCCAAGAAAAAAGGTCATATTTTTTACATAGCCCGAATGCGTCCAGTTCATTTAAAATTACCCGGGGTGCACCACGAGGAGGTGAACTGCCTTACACCCCAAAAATATTATTTTTATTATTATTATTATTATTAGAACTAGCTTACTAACGAGCGTACAATTTATTAAAACGTTTTTGGTTCTTATTATATATTTATATAGTGTGGTGTTTAAATGCCATTCTTTTGACAAAACCGAATCTTGATATTTCATTATTATTAAATTGTTTTATATTGTCTTCGATATATAATATTTTCTTGCACGTACTTTGTTTTGGTTTTTTGTTGCTTGTGTGGTCGTTTGGATTGCTATTTTAGTATCGATTTGAATTTTTTTAATATTTCCAAAAATGTGTATATGTCTGGGTGATGTGTATAAAATAACGAGTTGTACTTGGAATGAAAGCTTTCACAAGCATTTGTTGTCCTTTCAGAACTACTATTCATTTCGGCCTATATGGAAGTAGGAAATTTTGCTCCAGAATCTATATAATTTTCTGTTATATAATCCATAAATTCGTTAAATTTTTTATGTTTTGGCATTATAGGTATAAAATCTTCAATAATACAGTTTTCTACATCTACTTGATTTAATAATTGTAAACCAAATAGATTAATTAAAATTATTTTCCCACCGTTTCTAGTGTTAAAATATCTTAAATAGATACCTATAGCAGCTGTGAACCGAGGACGCACTCGGGCTATTCATTATAATTTGTCGATAAGACGGCGGACGCACTCGGGCTATGAAAAATGTAAAAATTAAAAACGGGACGCACTCAGGGTATCCAATTTTTTCGGGCGGAATTTGCATGTATGTTTCTTTACCTGTATTGTTTTTGGGCGGAATTTACATGTACCTTATTTTACCTGTAGTTCATTTTGGGTGGAATTTACATGCGCCCGTTGGTATAATAACATTGATAACGTCTTGCTTTTAGTTACAGTATATTATTAGAAAAGATAAAAACCTAGCAAATTAATTATTACTTTTTGTTATTTAATAAAACGCATTTGATAATATGAGTCTTCATTAGATCTACAAAACTAGGTAGATACTTACTTTTATAGTCTTATGATAACTAACGCATCGTAAAGAAGACTAGACAGTCTAGACTAGACTTACAAATGTACTGCTCGCATTCGTGAACGGTAGATTAACAATATTATATTGAAACAGATACTAATGTTTTTTAATATACTTATCATGCATAACATATAAATACAAAAAACAAATAGAAATATTTGAGAATTCCCAATGAAAAAAAATTGTTTTAAATGGATCATTAGAAATTAAAATAATAAATATAATTAGAAGTGTAGCATTGTAGCAGTCTGAGTATGTATTCCTAAATTCGTTTACTTTAAAACCAATATAGAAAGGCAGGTATTTATAAGACGAATAGACGTTAAATTGTAATTTATATACTTAAAATCTACTTAGTGTCTTAAAAAAATAATGATTGAATATTTTAGTCGGTTATTTATTATGTTCAATTAGTTAAAGTATATTTTATTTTGGAAATTAAAAAAAATTATGAAAATATTATCTATAGGATATGTGTAAATCTATTATAAATACGCGGTTGTTGTTTTAATTTATAAATTTAGTATTACAATAACACTGACCATACAATTTTAGAACACGAAAGAATATTCAGATGGTTAAAAAAAAATACAGAAAATGTCTGTATTAAAATATGAATGACGACTTCGTTGTTCATTATTTTGTACGTGTTTTTTTTTTTTGGAAAATGGACTGGTTGTGCTGGCTACCTGTTGTGGGACAGGTGTGAACCTAGTAGGATGGTTGTACACCCGGTTCATGTCAGCGTGTTTACAGACCCTTACTGAGTTGCTAGTTGCTACACGAGTGGCCGAATTTGGATAGCCTACGTAGTGTGCTTCTTCACTGCTTTCCGTGACTGAGTGTTCGTAAATACGCACCCCGATAGTGGGAACCGTGTCTCTCATGATCACAGACATCAGTTTTACGACGACAATACGGTGCGCCACCGCTGCCACCCGATAAAAAACACGAAGATGTATTGTCAGTTAATAAAAGTTACTCAAACTCGTCTCTCTGTAATGGCTTCTTAAAGCATCGATAACCTTGAGTTGTTCAGTAATTTCAATTATTGGATAAGTTCTTAAAGACAATTACTACTGAAATACAATCCAAATTCAATCACATAATAGTAGTCAATGGACAAGAATCTATACGTTAAACAGAACATTTCAAGGTGCGGTGAGTACCAACGTTTATTTATCGGCAATTAAGTAGGTTCTCACTTATAAATTATAAACCACTAAGCAGTACAGTTGTAGATGCCTATCGTTTTAAAACAACTTTATACTTATTTTACCACATACCTACTTTTAAGTTATTTTTTAATGTAGGTACCTATATTTTTTTATTTCCAATTCCAATGACAGAAACCTTAAAAAAAGAAACCTATAGATAATTAAAATATTTAACTAATTATATCTCAATTTTGACATTAATGTGGTTGCCTCTATTGTATCAATAAAAATATATAAATGTATATCATGTTGAATAAATTCAGTCAGGATACATAAAATATGTTGTTAATCGTTGCAATTCATCGACATAATGTTACAACTATTATTTAGGTTGATTAAGAAAACTTGTATGTAGTATGAAATAACATTTAGTATTGTTATATATTGCCTACATTTTAGTTAGTATGTCTTGGTTAACTAAAATGAAGATGTTAAAACATAGGCACAATGTAAAGCTATAATATTATACATACGAGATTCAAGTGGACAAAATAGGATTCTAAAGCAGTGACCGCTTACTATGGTCGCTTTAGATGAAAATAGTGATAAACTTAAGGTATATTTTATTTTTAACATAGGTCAGAAATGTCTGTAGTATACGAAATATCCTTCTTTACAATTATCAAAATTCATGTTTTATACCAAAAATAATAAAATAGTATGCAATAATGAAATGAATAATAACAAATAAACGAAAAAAATACAAATTTCTACTAAAAATATTTATATTTCTCCTGTACGATAAACCTAGACGAATGTGTCATCAGTGGGTGGCTTCTTTCTTCAAATTTATGTAAAATGATGTTTCATTGTCGATGTTTCCCTTATCGCACATATACTTATTATGTCTTAGATGTAGATTGTATATTTTCTTCTTCTTCTAAAAAAAATATTTCTCCTGTAAACCAATATCAACTATTTCTAAAAAAAAAATTATCATTATTAATATTATTAGGCATAATTTATTATTATTTTATCATCAATTAAACATCTAATTTTATCAAGTCAATAATAAAACATTATGACGGATTATTTATTAAGTATATTACGGACGACAACAATGATAACGAAAGGACTGCAATAAAAAAATGGAAACTATAACTGTATGTATGTATAACGAAATATTATATTTTGTTTCAAGTCGATGTTTGGCAAATGTTAACATATTTTTGCAATTCATAAAATACTCAAAATACAACTATATATTTCAACATAATTATTTAATAAATACTTTTATATTATTATAACAAATAAATACCTTTTAAAAATTCAGGTTGTTAACCCGTTTGGCTTCTGATTTCTTGATATTAACTATGATAACCTACCTTCAAAATGATAGGCACAAGAAAATGTTTACTAGCCAGCACAACAATGTGCATAGATGTTAAGGTAAAGAGTTGCAAATAAGTTGCGAAATATTGGCATAGGTTTGAAGTGGCCCGGGTAAAGTAGGGAGGAACATTTCACACTTTATTAGTTAATTTACTTTTTTATTAATGATATTAATTTGTCATTTTAAATAATAAATGTTTTTATTTATTTATTATTTTTCAAATTTTTACAACATTTTATTAATTATTTTTATTAATTGCATTTGTTATCCTTATTTTTGTTTTATTGATTTTTATTTATAAATAAATAAATTATTAATATACATTTTTTTAGAAACTATTTTTGATAATTTTTTATTTATAATTGCTGAGAATAAAAAACGAAACATAACTTATCGTAATGTTTCTAAATGTAATTTAGAAAAATAATGAGAAAAATACTATTAGTGTACATGTTTAAAAATTAAGACCATTAATAATTTCAGTATTTTTGATTTTTGACGATAATATTAGGTAGATCAAATTCTTAAAATAGTTTTTTGAACACATATAAATTGAACATTGCATGTATATTACCAAGAAGTAAAAGAATATTCTTATCTAGATATCACAGACCACAGTTTTTGATTTTTTAAAGAGAAGATTAAATTTCGTAGAAAAACATTATACACATCGTTACAGCGGTGTATTTGGTCATTGCATGGGGGAACCCATTTGGACTGAGTATTATACAGGCAAGGTTAAACAGAGAGTGTTAACAGGAAGACCTGATAACTTGTTCTAATCAATATTAACATTTTTTTTTGTCTTTAAATTTTATATTCACCTACATTTCATGTGTAGTCAAAAACATGATTACGTTTTAATTAAATTTAATCAAAATATATTGATATTTTCAACAATTCTGAAAAAAACATTCATTGACTTAGATAAATATTTTGTGCCCTTTATTTGATTATTTCTCAAAACTAATTGGTTCTTTGTATGTGAAAAGCCAACTACAATTACAATCATTTGTAATAATCATTTTTTGTATTCATAGACTAACATTAAAAAGTTCTGACAAATGATTATTGAAAGCTGGGTATTCATTTCATACGAGTATACGACTGAAGGCTTATGAATAAGAAAACGTGGATTGTAATCGTCATTTTGAAAACTTCCTTTAAATTTGGGTTTTATGTTTCATGTTGCAATATAATTCATTAATCCGATACCGATGTCCAGATATTTGGTCAAAGTGCCGGTGCTAAATAATTGTAATTTATTCCGGTACTCCGGAAAATTTCAGTTGGGAGCAATTCTAAGAACAGCGTTGATAAATTTAGCAAATACATAGCAAACTGTTGATACCTATTTTGAGCTGAATTAAGAAAGTTCTGGTGCCATGTATAGCACTGCCATATTTGTTTCCAGGATTCCGGAAAACCAATAAATGGCAAATTCTAAAAATGGCATACAAAAATTGTACTAAAATTTGTAGCAAACATTTGATGTAAGGTTTGATGTTGTAAACTTGTAACACTAAGTGCTGGTTAAATAAACACTACAAAATATAAGTATATAATAAAGTATATTTGTTCAAATTGAAAATCATACAATTATTTTACTCAATATTACCTAAATCGTAGCTGTCTCTGGGTTAAGCTGTAGACGTTTTAAAACACAATGATTATTGCTCTTCCATTTGTCGCTCGTAGGATTTGGTATAGAGAGGTTGTTACTTGTTACTTTGTTGGCGGTGTGCATGCACTGACGAAGGGTCGACCTGGTTTTGCCAACCAGAGAGTGATAGACGGCTTCATCAAAAGGTTGTTTTGTGCATCCGAGATGTAGATTTCTCTTCTGTGACAAGAACCCTTTTTTAAAAATACTTATCTTTTCTCTGGTAGCATGTAAGAAAGCCACACGCTTTACACTTACAAACATAAGTATGTCGTATGTGTCGATTTCTTAGTCCGTGATCGTATAATATAAGGAGACTATTTATGTCTGTGACAATAACTTATTGGGTCTGGAGATTTCCGATTTCTACGTGAGACCGTCTGGCCGTTATTTATTTATCTGTTACATTTTAAAGAATTGTTATAATGATGTGTGAGCATATCATTACACTAGGTTGAATTGTAAAATGTAACTACTACTACTTTAAGATTCACAAATTTATATTATTTTGATATTGATCAATTTAAATCGATTTTTTACTTTACCCATTTTTCTGCTAAGAAGATGAATCTAGTTGAGACTTTGGGGTTTTCACAAATAAAATAATTCTTATAGCTTTCAAAAAATTGATTTTGATTTTTGATGTAACACTAAACCATATAATTGTAGGTACTAGGTAGGTACGTGAAATAATCCCGCTCAAATTTTTTAAATATTTTGGCTCCTTTTGAGGTATTTACGGGCTTATAAAAAACATGAATTCCGTATACTACGTATACCAACTATAATGTATATACATATTATATATATATATATATATATATATTAATATATTCGCTGTATACATTCTTTATTATGATATTGTTGAAAGCTGTAAAGAAAAACCATTGTAAAAATAAAAATAAAATAATTGAACACCATAATTTGAATACTACAAATTCCTCATCCGTTTTCTAAGTAGTTGTGCTATTTAAACTGTTTTTTAGTATAATACATATTCTTCAGCTCATCCATGCTGCTATGTGAACACAATAAATTAAATAATAACCACACCATGATGCCGTAGAACCACTCCGTTAATTTTCTGAGAAAAAAAAAAATGTATAAATTCCATGTTTCCTTGTCATACGCCTATGAAAAATACCGAGACAAAAACCGGTCGTTGCCTCGCACGATTCCAAGGACAAATTCCAATTTCTAAATCCTATACATACACAATATTTTGTACACATTTGGACATTAAACAAAAAACACTTAAAACGGTCTGACGCATTACCAGTTCAATAGGTCGGTAAAAAATAACATTGATTACTTGCATTTAAATAGATAGGTACTGTGTTTTTTTGGAAAAGAAACAAAACAAAGTAAACTAATTATTAATTACTACTTAATATAATCATTTTGATAATGGTTTGATGATAATTTGAGTCTTCATTTGATCGACAAACCTAGGTAGATGGATCATTAAAAAATAATTATATTTAAAAGTTGAAATTAATTAATTTTTTTTGCTGATGTTCAGCACTGTTACAGTCTAAGTACCTGTATATTCCAAGATTAATTTACTTTAAAACCAAGATCGATAGGTAAGTACCTAGATGATTCGATGTTAAATTGTTGTATTTTACATACTTAAATTCTACATATTTTCTTTAAAAAATAATGATGGAATATTATAATGGGTTATTTATTATTATTAACAATATTATGAAAATATTATCTATGATACATGTGCAAATCTATTATTAATTGTTGTTATAATATATAAATTTAGTGTTACAATAATAATGATCATAGAATTATTGAACCGAAAGAATGTTCATATAATAATACAAAAAAGACAGAAAAATTCTGTATTAAAATATAAAATACGATGCTCCGTTGTTCATTTAAAAGTGTTTTGTTTGGAAAATATACTGGTTGTGCTTTTTACCTGCAGTGGGGAGTGGGTGAACCCAATAGGATTGTCGTTTACCCGGTCAAGGCAGCGTGTTTACGGATCCTAACTGAACGGGTGCACTAGTGAACGAATTTGGTTAGTCTACATAGTGTGAGGCTTTACTGCGTTCCATAACTGAGGGTTCTTATATATGCGCCCCGCCAGTAATAACCACTCTCACGAAAACATACATCAATTCACCGAGTACGATTCGGCGCGCCGCCGATACCACCCGAAAAAATACACAAAGAAATGTGTCAGGTATTAAAAAGTACTCAGAACCGTCTCCCCGTAATGGCTCGTTAACGCATCGATAACCGTGAGTTGTTAAGTAACCTCAAATTATTGGATTAGAGCTTAACGAAAATCAATACAATCCGAATTCAATCGCACGATAGTAGTCAATGGACAAGAATTTATTCTGTATTCATTTGATAAAACATTTCAACTTATGGTGAGTACATACCAACGATTATTCATCGCCAATTACGTAAGTTATCACATATAAATTATGTAAGTACTAATCAGTATAGTAATTTTAAAATATATTTATACTTATATTACCACATACATTTTAATTATTTTTAAAACTATATTTTTCTATTTCTAATGGTAGAAACCGTAATTTGTATTAAAAAAATTGATGGGGAATTAAAATATGTATTTTATAATATCACAATATTTATACTAATGTGTTTACGGCTATTGTATCAAGTAAAATGTATAAAACATAAAAATGACACAACATAATTGTGAACTCTTTTTTTTCTTACAAATAACAGCTTATAAGAACCCTTGTCCCTTGTTTTACTTTTTCTAGTTTTCTCAACTAGCAAAAATGTATTAAGGCATTTTAATCAATACTAAATGATCATTTAATATATGCTTATAGAAACTCAACATTATTGTTGAATTATATTGAAGATTATCAATTAATAGTTATTGTATCATGTATTATATTTTTATATAATATAATGTATTTGATTTGGGTAGTTATTTATTTTTATTAGTAATGATAAAATAATCCTTTCATACTCAGCCACAAAATGCTTTAGTTGTAAAAAAATAAAAATAATATTTTCGATTACAATTTATTAGATTTAATTCAATACATGAACATAAAAAGCCCTTAATATGAAATGATGAATAATTACTAGTAAATTTAATAATTTGAATTAAAATGTAATATAAATCATGATATTTTGCCTGGCTTGGCAAATGAACGATTTTTTTAAACACGTTAAGTTTAGTCAGTTTACGACAAAATAAGTTAAGATAATTTAAAAGGTAACTAACTTTTTTTACAACTTGGTTAAGTTAAAAACTTATGGATGAATCAAATTATCTTTAGAAAAAATTTTTAAATCTCCTATGGGTAAGAAAAGTAGGTACATCTACAACTGTAATGATGACTTAGGAAATCGTTTCAATTTCGGTGTTCTGTAGCCTTAATTTGGTCATGCATGTGGGCAGGGTTGTTGATACATTTATATAAATTATAATAACATGTCCAGTGTTCCAATAAGAACTATGTTCATGAAATATGACAATTAAATAAATAGTAAACGGCATAATATGCGGGAACAATAATAGCCTACTTATTTTGTTTTTCGGGCCCACCAGTTAGGACAAAGGGTAATCGTAATTCGTAAATTTATAATAATACACTAATGCCGTTATCATATAACTCGTGGTGTTTGATGTACCTACTAATTTAAGACTGCATATGATTACACAACAAAATATAGACATATATAAGTAATATCTCTAATCTCTTTGAGTATATTATACGACTATATATTAAAAAATAATTAATCACGAATGAATCATTCTACGTTTTCTGTACCTATATTATTCTTGAACATTTCTGTGAACTATAATACCCATCTAATATTTCATAAAACATCAAAATTATGAATAAATTATTGGTAAAGTATTGATTATCATACAATTAAAAATTGTACATCATTTTAATAAATCAGTTTAAAGTTAGTGCCTTGAATATGTTAAAAATGTAACAATTTAAGTTGAAAATAAGTTTCAAAAAAAATTAACGAGTTATCAAACTTAGTTGATATTCAATTAACATTTTAACTTAATTATTTATGTTTAACTTGTTAATTACCAGTCTTGATAATTTGTATGCAGGATATTTTTATCTGAGTTATTTGTAACTTGAATAAATTGAATGAAGATTATTTTCAATAAGTGATATTTTGGTGGTGATGCACATGACACCGCACAGTGGTTTATGACGACCGTCGGTATGGTTAACTTTTAACTAATTAAACCTGTCGTTATGTTGGTGATTAGTTTATTACGAGTAGATAATTGTTTCTGTTATTTAGTATTGCAACTTTTTAAATGGGTTAATTTTTGAAGTAACAGTAAAAGTTAATAATTAATCATTTTGTTTTGATGATTACAGTTTATAAGTAGCAGAATGAGTTCAATGATATCACTACATCTGTTGATTTGTATTTTGGTATTCTTGCCATCGTGTTGCAGAGGTCATAAGAGGTTCATTATCAAAGGTGTTAATTTATTATAATTTAAGCTTTAGTTTTAATTTATTTTATACAGATTGGTTATAATTTGCAATGATTAAATGGTTTGTACTTATAGATGGTTTGAAGATTGACTCAAACAACTGGTACCGGAATCTCGGAATCAATGAATTAGAATATTATATAGACCGATCTGTGAAAAGTACAAATTTGTTTTTTGGCTTACATCTTGCAGGTGTGGAAAATGGAAGCCCGACCTATGGACAATTTATAGATTCTCAGCTTTCCGAAGACGGGTATTCGGTATATTGGAGTGCTGAAATTATTTCTAGAGCTTCTCGGTTTATATCTGCTGATAAATGCCTTTTGTACGAGCATAAAAAATATCTCAATAAATAAAAAAAAATATTAATTTGCCTAAACTATATTACTTTTTAGGCATGAAGGTGAACATAGTAAAAAATGTTCCACAGACTTATCGAAAGTGAGACTAGACAAGACGTCTTTGGGTGAGAAGTGTTTGTCTATGTATTACAACAAAACTGCGTGCATCGGGATGAACCTAAAGTATCGTAGTCCTGACGGTTCTTGTAACAACTTGAAACGTTCTTATTCGGGGAAGGCAACCACTGCATATAATCGTTTGCTGTTAAATGGCTATTATGATAATTTTCACAGTAATATTTATTTTTATGACACATATCACCGATAACATATATACGTATACACCATACACGTTATTAAGATTCTGAGCTTAGCAATGAATTGTATTGTATTTACAATGATGAATGATGTATAGCTTATTTTTGTGTAAATATCATTTTTGGCAGTAAAAATGCTCGGCATTATTTTTGACATCAACATATTTTCGAGTTCAAAAGCTTATTTAGTATTCGCATTCGGGAGATTAAAATGAAAAAATCCTAGTTTCAAAAAAAAAAGTGAAAAACAAAATATTATTTTTTCCGCCAACCACATAACCGAATACACTTAAAAAATATTTATATCGGCATTTTCCATAAATCATAATATGGTAAAATTATTTTGACTATTTTTAAATTTTGAATTGCCTCAAGATTAGATTTTTTTGAACTATAGTCGGTATCAACTCTTTAACTCACTGATATAATTAATTTTAATGTGGATCCTATGATAAGATTTTATTTATCGTCCATACAGCTATTTTGGATGGTAGTGGAAGGAGTTCTCTTCCCAATGCTAGAAAGCTTAGCATTGCGCTTGTCAACGACGAGAACTCACCAGATGACTTAAAGACTATGGCAATAGCGTACTGGACGATCTTTGTAGGTCATGATCTATCTCACACAGCAATTTCTAGCCATAGTAGGTTTAATATATAACAGTTTATACTGATAGTTTATTATGTTAATAATTTTTTTAATGCATACATAATATGAATATAAAAATCCACAGAAAAAAATAATAAACCGGTGATTTGTTGTAATCACAACTATGAATTATCTCCTCGAGACAGAAACGAATTGTGCATGCAAATAGTTATAGACGATCGAAGTAAAGATCGCGATCCATTTTTTGACTTTCGGTGCATGAACTACGTGCGCTCGGTTCCAGCGGTGAGTTCCGACTGTACTTTTGGACCCAGGGAACAAGTAAGAGCTAAATAAGATAATACCATAACGACAAACGTAAATTATTTTATGTTTATGTTAACAGCTAAAATATTTAAATAATTACCCTTTCCGTTATTTCATTTATTGTTTTTTAAATTTATGATCAACATTTAAAGAAGAATCAATATAAAAAAATCAATGTGCATTTGGAATAGTGCATATTTTAATAGCATTATTTCTAGAGCTGACTTTTGAATTCCCAAAAGACCATAAAAATAATATATGGAACTCATTATCATGGTGGTTTTTCGCAGATGAATCAAGCTACTCATTATTTAGATGGGTCGATGGTATACGGTTCGTCGGCGAAACGGACGTGGTCATTGAGAACCAAGTCGGACGGCCAACTGTTTACGGACATGGGGTGCGATAACAAAGGCCAGGGCGACACGCTACAGCCACGGTATATGCCGCTGGAAGACACGGAATCGAATGCGTGCCAGTATGGCAGCGGCACTTGCTATAGGGCTGGAGATCCTCGGGCAAACACGCTTCCCCAACTGACGGTAATGCACACGTTGTGGATGAGGGAACACAACCGGTTGGCAAAATTGTTGTCCCACGTCAACCCGCACTGGAGTGACGAACGCATTTTTCAAGAAGCCAGGAAAATTGTAACGGCGTCCATACAGCACATCACTTACGCCGAATGGCTGCCGGCGCTGCTCGGTGAAAACTTCACCAGGCAGTACGGGCTCGAACTGTTGACTAAAGGTTACAGTAACGCGTACAACGAAACCTCTGACCCGAGCGTCAGCAACAGTTTCGCTACTGCAATATTACCGTTCGCTAATTCTATGATTACAGAATCGATTAAGTATGTAGACGAATATTAAAGAAATATTATTATCATTATTATCGTATGTAAGTTAGTTGTTTACACTCAAAAATGTTTTATTATTGTTTCAATGTATGTACGGTTATCCCATATTCAGCGAATATTTTTAGTTTTTTAGGTACCAATTTACTGATTTAGTGAGCCCTCATTGTGAATCCAGTTACTTTATCTGCAGTTTCTTACAAACTTTTTGTTTAAATACTTTTGATATTTATATTTATAAATTATATTCGTCACAATACACGTAGTTGAAAATCTATATGAGAAAACATATTTGCTACCAATAAAAAAAAAATCAGGGGTCTACAAGTGGTTATCATAATGGATGTGTTATATTTGAATTAGGTTAAATTAATTTTGCCAGAAAAGTTGCGTTTGAAGCTTCCCTTGTGTATTTACAAGTAGTTGTCCCGTTCGGTGATGCACGTGAAAAGAATTTGTTGCTTGCCAAATGAGCCAACTCTATTTGATTTCAGCTTTGTAGAATTGGTTTTATATTACTCGCTATAATAAATTTGATAATTTATGATCCTCCCCAGCGAGCACTTGAAGGCAGTGTGAAAATTTTAGGCCTCCGCCTATCATCATTGTTTAGGCTCCACATTGATCAGTCAGTGAGGCAGACTGGACAAGTTCAATTCTATATAATATATACTCTATTTAGAATGAGATCGTTTCTCTGCAGCCTACTCCTGCGCATGGGCATGGCTTCGTTTCGCAGTGCTGGGCTCACGAGCTTTTGTCAATAGTATAGTAGGTACCGACAGCTGAAATGAACACTTCATTCAATCGATATGATCGCGCGTGGACAATTTAGTACTTCTACACGCGCAGCATTGGCCACCAGTCACCACTTTGCTACAGAACAATAGTTTTGCCGAGGACATACACAATCGGAATTCCGAATCGTTATTTGACTAGGCTTGGGAAGCGTCTGACCGTTGAGGACGAAAACTGGTGGCCGCCGAGGTACGATCTCATTCTGATAGAGTGCAGACATCCCGTCCTGCGTTTTCGGTGGGACAAGCTTGTAATCACGTGAACAGTTTATTGTCATGTAATGTAAGAAATCCAACTGTGGTGGATTGCAAACCCCGCGAGATACTTACGTATTTACGAATTTTCATTAACACGTTGAGTACCATAATGCTTAGGTAAGATGTCATGTGTAGGTTCCCGAGACAACAGTCGAAACAGTCCAACAGTCTAACATAAACAATACCATTTAGCTAAATTGTATGGTTTTAACCAAATGTAAAATGTATTTCTTAAGTTATATACAATTATAAGACTCGTTCGTCTGTGTAATATTGAGTAAATATGGACAGTGTATTCCTAAATATGTACAATCACGCGGCCCGCTCGATTCTCGTTCGACCTATTTATGCATGAAAGATCCTGTTTACTCATATTTTTGTGTATCAGTTCATAAACTATAAAGTTGATTAATCTTCTATGTACGTGTTAGTAACGTTTTAAACAGTAAATTGTTTTATGTTTCGGGGAATAATATTTTTTGAATTAATTTCAAGAATTTCAATTAATATCAAAGGTTAGAATAAATTGTTATTTTCATGTAAATTTTAAATTTTGTCAATATTTAAAATTCAAACATTTTTAAAAATAGTACCGTGAATGTCACTTAAATCCATATATATCAATACATTCATGATAAAGTTAGTTTATCATAAATACACGATTGTAAAAAATCTTAGGTATGAGTTCATAAATGAATTTATTGAATTTATGAATATGATTATTACAAAAAGTATTCAGTAATTTATTGTGTTTTATTTATGCATTTATTATTCTTAAATATGTGTTTACTGTTTTTTTTATAAATTATTAATATTATTAATATTCAGTTTTTTTAGAAACCAGTTTCGATAATGTTTTATTTATAATTGTTAAGAATAAAAAATGATCTTTTTATAGTATACATGTTTAAAAATTGAAAGCTTATGACTGAAGGCTTATGAATAATAGAGAGTGGAGTCTAATCTTAATTTTCCAACCTTCCTATAGATTTTTGTTTTGTATTTTATGTTGCAATATAACACTTAATCAAAGGTTAGTCAGGCAATTCAAAACATCTAAATATTGAAATTGAGATACATATGTCCAGATATTTTTATTCAAAGTCCCCTTGCTAAATAATTTTCATTTATTCCGGTACTCCGAAAAAAATCAGTTGGGAGCAATTCTAAAAACAGCGTTGATAAATTTAGCAAATACCTAGCAAACTGTTGATACCTATTTTGAGCTGAATTAAGAAAGTTTTGGTGCCATATATAGCATTGCCATATTTGTTTCCAGGATTCCGGAAAATCAATAATTGGCAAATTCTGAAAATGGCATACAAAACTTGCATACCTAATTTGTAGCAAACATTTGATGTATGGTTTCATGTTAAAGCACAAAGTGATTGTTTTTTAATAAACCATACAAAATATAAAATATTTTTTTAAAAAATTATTTATTTATGAATGTATTGTGATATATTTTTTTAGATATTCAACAATATTCGTTTCGTATTTTGGTCGAATTAAAAAATCATTATTATTATATGTTATTTAATTATTATTATTTAATTAGTTATACAAAAATCAAATAATACAGAATTACATTTAATTATGTCAAAATCGTTAAGAAAACATTTGTTAGAATATTGATGTGTACTTGTACGAAAAATGAATCATTAAATGCACTAATGAATAATTTATTTGGATGTTTTTTGTTTAGTTTATACACTGAAGATCGAGTGATGAACGGTAGTCTTTCCCTAAAGGAACATTTCAACCGACCGATTGAATTACTAACGAATTACATGGATCAACTTGTCAGAGGGTTATCTACGCAGAATACACAAAAAGTCGATATGCTGTTTACTAAAACGGTGAGTTTTTGAAAAAAAGAATCAAAATGATGGAACGACTCTTTTAAACTCATAAATGATAAAAATGCCCATATTATAGAATATAGACAATATTATATGTTGAATTTTTTTTGTATTATCAGTGATTCGTATGTTTTTTTCAGATAACAAATTACTTATACACTGTGCATCCAGATAATATATTTGGAATGGACGTTTTCAGCTTGGATGTACAACGAAATCGCGATCACGGTATTCGATTTTATACGAAATACAGAGAATATTGTGGACTAAAACCTATAAAAAATGAGCAAGATTTGTCCCAGATCATGATGGAAGGTGTAAGTTTGAAAGTATTTGAATTATTAAATCATTTTACACTGATTACATTATTCCTGTATATTATTATATACAGTCAACTGATAAATTGTTGGCCCAATACAAACATTGGGAGAATATAGAGCTATTGGTAGGTGCATTGCTTGAGAAACACGAAGACGTCGCTATGGTTGGCCCGACGATGAGGTGTATTATCAAGGAACAGTTTATAAGGACTAGAATCGCAGACAGATATTTTTACGATTTACCAAATGTATTCAACAAATGTTAGTATATCTGAAATATTTTGAATAAATTAAATTATTTTTAACTAATCTTATTTTCGAATTTCAGATCAACTGACAGAAATCAGAAAAGTGACGCTTGCCAGAGTATTTTGTGATAACAGCAATAATATCACATCAATGCAGAAACAAGTATTTTTGAAACCAACTGCGGCTGATTTGCAACTTTGTAGTTCCAAATTGATTCCAAAAATCAACATCAATCACTGGTCAGAAATGGTCGATACATTTTGAAAATAATATCATACCAAACATCGATGCATTCATTTATAATGTATTAATATTGAAACAAAGTACTAGATTATAAGAATTATAATATTTTTATATTTAATAATAAATAATCATTATTTCACCATTGGCTGAACCTTTTTGCATTTTACCTGTTTGTAACAAGTGTTGGAACTTATCTAGATGAAAATATTATTATCTATTATCTTTCTAGATTAAATTCTACCGGTCATTTTTTTTTTTATTTTAGATAAAAAATACAGTTATCTATATTAATTTATCTAGATAATTTTTTGTGTACAAGAACATTTTTTTTAATATAAAAGTAGGTACCTATATACATTTTTACATTTCGTGTTTGAAAACCAGTACTTAATAGATATAAAGAATATAATATTATGATAGTACAAATTTAAAACAGCCTGCACAATGCACAAAGTATAAAATATATGTTGATAGTCAGTACTCAGTAGCCAGTGATTTGGCTGTTGTGTTAATTCCATTTATTAATTTAATGTACCTGTAGGTTAATACTTATCAGTTATATTTTCTGATCGGTAGTGGCGGCAGAAAAATAGAACGGTTTATATTATAATATAGGTACATATAATACTAATTACTCATAATAATGATAGCGTATGTCTGCGAAAACCATTTAATTATATTTATGAATTTATTACTAAGTATAATATTAAGTATATCCCTTAGAATTACCCATATGAACATACGGGTCTGTCTCGTACACGGCCCGCTGACGTCGACTGTACAACCAGACTAAATGAAAATAGTTTTCGTAAAGTCTGTGGTATAACTAAGGCTAGACATTAGAGCAGATTAATTGTGTAGAACAGCGTTTCTCAAAAACTAAAAAAATTGAAAATGTCCGTACACGGCTCAAAACAAGTCAAAATATTTTGAAAATTGTATCAAGTATATATGAATTTTTAAAATAATTGTTACAACTTACATTAAGTCGTCGCTTCTGTTGCTTACACCCGTATATTTCAAAAAGAAAAAACGAACAGTTGAAGCAGACCATTGAAGACAGAACATTTATTCATATATTTATATACATGAGATAGTATTAATAATATAAATAAAATATTATAATTTTTGAATATTTTAAGAAAGTTACGTCTAATATATTACTTATTACGAGTATAAACTTTATATTTTAACAAACGCTGAGAAAAAAGAATATAATTTACGTGATCATCAAATTTCGGGGCGTGGCACTTGAATAACTAAACATGTAACCCGGTCGCGGAGCTTACAGATTGATTAGAAACGAATAAATGCGCAGTGTATCTGGTTAGCTGCCGTTTGAGTAGGCGTGTTGTGAACGTAGATATATAAAAATGGATAGGCCACTCCTATAGAAACGAAAAAATGTGTTGCTGCCCGGAATGTGGATGACAGACAGACGCTACATACTATGATAATATAATATAAGTACTTATATTGTGCAGTGCACACACTCTAGCTATTTGTTTAATCGTTCATTTTTTTTTTTTTAAGTGATTGGTGAGAACACCGAAAACTCTGAGTATCAAAATGTTCATTATCGCGTTATTATACTAGATGCCTATCCATTTGTATATTATTACTTATCTGTATATACTATATTATTAATGGCTGTAAAAGACATCGACCTCATCCCCATCACGGTTACCATAACTCAACCAATTGCGCCGACGTCGTTACAAACCCGTGAGCTTCACCGATACGATTTAGTACTATAATTTAAAAATATTTTCTATTAAGCATTTTAAATTTCAAATTTTGACAAAATTGGTCAACCTTTAGGTGGAATTGTTTATATTGGCGGTATAAATCTATATTTTTTTGAATTTTAAAACACAAAAATTATATATTTATCGTGTTATGTAATATTTCCCATACGTTAGTTACACTCAAATACGTTTTTATTGTGTTAGTGCACCGCTAAAGAGACATTGGCTGTCACAACATGCAGATCGTCTTTTAGCTTTCCGAAAGGCAGCAACAGGTTTTCCACTTTTCCAAAATTTCCACTCGAAACCACATAAAATATTATATGAGTAATCACTCGTATGCACAATAGTATAGGTACTATTTGTTTGTACGTAAATACTAAATATCTATGATAATATATTTTGTAATTGCCCACATTTATTTGCTCAACTATACCCACGATTACAGTTAAATAAAAATAAAAATGATATCTGTATGATCGTGGCTATCACCTATCAGCTGTGTATTTAAGTATATAGTAAGTATTTTGTTCTTTTATGAGATAACCATTTGTCGATGACGTGCACCACAAAACTATGTGGAAAACATTCAAAGTGTGTTATTCTCACATTTTATTATGTTGACCCCGAAAAAAAAATAATCTCATAATTCAATAATATCTGAACGTTTCTATCTGTAATGCAAAATTATTTGTTCAACAATGAACTCACTAAAAATGGTTTTCGTCCAATTCTAAGAAAAATTACTTTGCTATGTGAGTATACAAATATAAATTTCCTCAATTTAAAATTACATATTAAATTACATAGTACTTTGTTTTTTAGTTTTCATAATAATATGACACTTGAAGAAATAGAGACAAAATATTTTCGTAATTTAACATCTAAGAATATACCTACTTATCTGTTTATGTTTTTGTATTTTAAATTATATTTTATATGATTCTAACTTCAACCCATTCCTGTGGTGGAAAATAGATCTAACTTATAAGTATTGCTCGGTATCAACCTCGGATGTCAGTTAATCTTTAAAAACATCGAAAATGCCAACCAATTTTTTTTTGGTGTAAAAAACTGTTTGATAACATTTAATGATTTAGTAATATAGAGTATGTTTATTATTATTTACATTTTTAATTCCAAATCAATAATAAACTATAGCTGCTAATGACCAACATGTTTAACGAGACATATGTATATTTCATAGCCCATATTTTGAACAATAGTTGTATAATACGATTAGTTATACTATAACTAGTATTGTACGCAGGTGAAAATTATGGTTACTCAGTAAAGTCATGACTAAAATGATTTTTGTTACTCACACAATGTATAATGTAATTACGCAATACACTGGGCAAGGTTGTGCTCGTTTCGACTGCCCTCGGAATAGCACTTATTAATTCATTAAGTAGGTATGACTGTTTTGTCTGAAATGTTCATTTTCTCGCAAAACAATCATCTTATGAGTTATGAGTGTTGTGTGTTTCTCCTCTTAATTAAAATGATGAGTTGATTCAATGTTGATTCCGTTAAATCGTGTTTGTACATTTCTATAAGAGTATAATCAGAATTCAGAGTTAAAATAATATTATATGTTTCTTGTTTAATCAAGCTGCATACATCATTCTGTACAATGTCATACCTAATGATTTTCGATAAAAATAAATCAATACACATATTTCCTGATTTAATAATTATTATTATTTGGTATCCATAAATATGTTATTGCTTTATCATTGCAGGGTGATAAATTTAAAAAGCTTTTTTAAAATTTTTTTTAAGTAATCTTTAAAAAAATTAAAAGTTGTGTACAATCATTATAATATGTGTAGTGTGTACGGTAATTAAAAAAAAATCACTCTTTTTTAATTGAGATATTTAGTGAATACAAAAAGACGACTCTGTAAATTAACTTTTGACTTTTAGGATTAGATTTATATGAATTTTTAATATCGTATAAATTAATCAAAAAAGTTATTAAGCATGACCACTTTTGAACCATTATTTATTATTATATTTAAATTTGGTTTACTATGGTTTTTTTTGTGAGTATTATTAATTTTTAGTTCGACAATTAGGTAGGTGCTTGTAATATAAACGGGGTACCTATACCAATATTCATATAGTGACACAATTTTATAAATAATTATGCACTTAAATTTATTTTTGTAACGAATGAAACCAATTAACATATGGAGTTGGTAAAAAAGTAGTCACATAAATGTTTGCCTACTTTCTATATAACATAGATGACCTTCGTTATATTCTTTTATTCTTTTTATATAAAAAATTGAATATTTTGATTAAAGTAAATTTCTAGATAACAGTAAAATAAATAATTTTATTGTGTTAGTTATAATCTTGTGTTATAAAAATATGTTTACTTAGTTGAATTAAACACTAGGTATGCGTATTGGGTTAAAATGTTAAGTCGATACTTATTATTTATTAAAAAAAAAAAATGAATAACAATCATTTATTTTTATTTTTAACATTAAAATCCTAGTAAATAAAAAAAATAATAAAGTATAGTCACAAAAATAATTGTATAGATTGATCATACTAATTTTTAATTGTGTTGTATCTAGGATTGTGTTATATCTAGGGAGAAAAACAAAGTAAATTGGTACCTCATAAAATCTTTTTTTCTGAACTATAATATCATTCAAAACTTAAGGTATTTTTATCTAAAACTGACGGTATATAAACGAGGGCAATAATAGTCGTCGACACGATATAATTAAATTTTACTAATTTTATTATTCACGTGGTATAAATTCGTATTTGGCAGATACATTTGATTTATTTAATTGAAGAATAACAAAGAATAAATGGTCACAGACACATAGTGCACACTACTCTGGGTGATTTGAATGTGCGCTTTCACGATTTTTAAAACGACGCCTTAAGTATATTAATTTATCATGGCAATGTAGATATTATAGGATTATACTATTTTTAATAAATGCCGGGAAAAAAATATAATGTAAACAATGAACGAAATGTTTGTTTTTGATTTTCGTTTCGAATAGATTCGTATGTACCTAATTCCACGACATTGACGCTACCGAATAATCGAATCAGGGTCGGTCTGGAGGCATTGTCGGACCATAATCGCCGCACGCCAGGTGGGTGTCATATCATATTATTTTAAGCTTGAAAATACGTAGAAATATATTACGCATATTAAAAACATTAAAAGTTAAAGTTTTGTGTGTTATTATTTCTTATTATAATATGTAGATTATGAATAAAGTATTTATATTTAATATAATTACTCAATATATGTAAATATATTATACTATATTATGTACATTTTATACTCAC